TGTATCTTTCATTAACAAGCAAAAGCGCTGAAAATGCTTCAACAATCTTTCTAACCTCTTTCACTAACCTCAAATATCAAATTAAATCCACTACAGTCTATTATTCGTAGCCTATACCAAAATGAAATTTCCGAAGTTTGTTTAAGCTTTAATTACAAACAATGTTTCTGGAGGTCAGGGTTTTTAGAGGCGTGTTTTCACTGAAAATATTTGCCCTTCGTTTCTACTCGTACTGCAGAGTAAAGAAGGATTAAACGTCGTGGCAGCTGACGGGAAGTTAAGGCCGCAGCAACGAAAAGTTAACAGCGTGCGGAAAATCTTCGACCAGCGCGCGATTTAAAGGGTTTACGTAGACGACTACTGTCTTGAAAAGCTAAATAGAAGCAAAAGTAGGTGTAGATGTAGCGTGCTACGAAGGGAGTATAGCCGTATAGCCGTAGGGTGTACCCACGCACTCACAAAGTGAAACTTTTAAACTTTTCTAATGAATAAATTTCAACTTTCGGGTCGCATATGCAACCCACGACGTTGAACTTTCTATATTTCTGTATGGAAATAAGCAAAATCAGTTTATTTGTGCTTTAAATTAAAGAAAAATCGCAAATTATGAAGTTGTTACCATGAAAACATTGATTTTAATCAAATTTATGCATACAAAACATTATACACAGCTGATACAAAATATAGAATCCATTGGTTACACCTGCCGTTCAACACGACTTGCTAGCAGAGCTGTTACATTACCCAATGTCCCCATTACGTCCCCGTTTACTTGTTAGTGCTAAACGAAACGTGACGGTATTCGTGCCCTGAACACACGACGAACTGAGGGGATTCCACGCACAATGCGCTCGGCAACGACGACGACGAAAAAAAATGAAACCAGAATATGAATACCAGTGAATACCCTTCTTCCAACGTTTATTGTCTTGTGGTTCACTTGTTCACTGGTACCATACATTCCGGACTCGCGCGTTCACCTGCCTTCAAGTTCACGCGTTCGCCCGCTCCACCGCGTTTCCGGTTGTGTAGGCATGCTGTGCTTTTGTTTTCGACGTTTAAATGAAGATTTGGGATCGACGCGAATCGCTCGCTTGTGTGATAAAGCTAATCCGCATTGTTTAAAATGCAAAAAGGGAACGCAATTACGAACGACAACATTGTTCGGCTTTAGAGCCGCCCAAAAGGGAAGCGCTACGTGGCCTACTTACTTATACCATGACCGCACATGTTTGCCTACTCGTGAGATTCACGAGAAAAACGACACATTTTCTCACATAGTCATAGTATGAATATGTTACAGTTCGCTGAACTTTTACACAGTCTTTAAATTTACGGCCAAGTGGAAAAATTGCGCAAATTATTCAAATTAAATTCTTGTTTTCTTTATATCTAGCCACGCAACAAAAAATCAACAAAATCAAGCCTGTGATTGCTAATAAATTGACTGTATGATTGTGACATACGAATTCTCATGCTTGATTGGCTACACACTTTCGGAGAACTCGTTTGTGAAACATGAATATGAATAATTTTATCTTCGACGTGTTTATATATACATTTTCGGCATTTTTATGCGAATAAAAAAAATAATTGCCTTGAAATGGAATTGATCAGTGTATATTTGCTTTTACAGAAAACAGAGAATCGAGAATGATAAAATATGATTGCAAACAAATGTATGACTCAGTCTGCGTCTGAGTATGTAGTTCAATTCACAAACAGAAATAAACGAAGCATTAAACGACAGAGCATATGTAGTTAATAGAAATGACGCAGTGTATTCAAGGTATGTTTCATAACAGAAGGAGGAATGTTAGAAAATATGTATGCAATGAAAATAAAACCGGCTATTACTAGAATTGACCAGGTTTGTAAGTAATAATAAATAAAAATACAAATAACTCGTTGCACTTGAAATTTTATGATCGTTTCTTAGTTAGATTTTATTTTTAAGTGTAATATACGTTTGAGATGCAGTGTACGCACCGAACACATGTGTGAAAACATGAAAAAATGCAAATAATGCTAATAATAGTTGCATTATTGCTGTATTATGTATTATTGCCTGAAGAAAATGGAAAGAAACTAAGTGTGAATGAATTAACGTGCGGTTAGCGTGAGCGAAACTATGATTCAAGGTAGAATACTAGTTCGCAACGTATATTGTGTAATTTAGCGACTAATCAGTTCCATGAATAAATTAACTCCTGTGCGCTGTGCTTTAAATTACAGAACTAAAATTGAACTATTTAACTGCAAATTACAATTCTAAATTCCAAATAATAAAGTTTTATAGTTTATTGTAGGAATTATATCAAATCCAATTTTGTACCTAAATTGGACATACTGTTAACCGAAGCAGTGCACTGAACGTTAAAATCGATTCTGTATTTTCTATATCAAACAATATTTTATAAAATACCTAGTTTCATATACGAGTATACCAGTCGATACCAGATTATAATCAAAATAACATTTTACTTTACGTCACCTGTAGTGGATATTTATATTGTATTAAAAATAAATTCTATTCTCTGCCAAAAACTCAAATGGTGTAAAAATATTTATTGCATAAAAATTATTTTCCTCCTATTTTAAAAGCTATAAATAAAAAATAATAATGTCATCATATTTTTTCTGTAAAATCGTTGTGAATTGTGATAAAGTAAAACACAAATATTTACAATAGGAATTACTTAAACGTCAAAAAGAAATTTCATCCCAATACAAATTGTGTTTTCATTTCTCTATCAAATAATGTCATATCTAGAAAGATTTGAAAACACAATACAAACAAATATAAAATATACGCCTACCCACATCGATTCAATCTTCGTTTTAGTAGTTGCGATTTGCAAAATAAGAACGCAAAGACTTATTCTTTTGTATGCAATCGAATTCGATTCGTGAGCATAACAAAGACATTTCAATTTGGAAGAATCTCGAACCGTACTTTGCATAATACTATCAACCGAGAGTCTCCAACTGTGCGAAAAACGGTTTTTATTCTGACATCCTATTCAGTGACTTGCCGACATTATTATTTTTTAGTTTCAGTCTGATGCATGAACATAGATTTCATTTCTCTGATGACATTGGCAATGCATATTTTAACACTGATAAAATGTGTGAAAGCTTTTTATATGATCCATCATGTTTTCATTTATATTTATTTTTATCTATTTTTGGCTGGCTAATCTTGTCTTTTGTCCATTCATCTTTTTATGCGATTTTCACGCGCTATTAACCGAAATGCGAGGCTTTCATTCAACACGTGTATTTATAAAATAAATAAACAATTTTATGTGTAATATCCAGCCACATTCCAGTGGTTGTGGGAAGCGTAGGAAGGAATAATCCTGATAACACATCACAATACAATTTTATGTTTTCCTATAAATCACATGTAATATAATCTCAATTAATCCACATATTTAACGCCATCTGATTTACAAAAGCATAAAAATCTAATTTCCAAGCGTTTAATAACATAATCAAAATAAAAATGTGATTTATGTCTGGATTAGAGTGGATACAATTTGCGAAATTGACCTTTAAAGGTTCATGATTAAATTATACCTGCCAATTATGTCAATTAACTCTTCACACGCTCGTGGAACTCAATGTCCAATGCCATCGGAATGCAAACACTGTTTTTAAGCAAAAAAACAAAACGAAACAAACATAAAATGCTTGTTGTTAATAACCAAATGAATCATAAAATGCATCGGTTACTGAGTATATTGCTATTTGCGGTTGGAGTTTACCAACAACGACCGGCAATGTAAAGTCGGTGCGTGCAAAACACATTACTAAACTTAAACACGCAGATCTAAACGAAAATTATGCATGCAAACATCAAAGACCTGCACACACAGCAGTACTACAGGTAAAGTAAGTGTAGGAGGCGCAGGCAAACAAAAATATCCGCGAGTAGTTTACCTTTGACAATTCGCTTTATTCCTGCATTATTACTAAAACAATCATATCTGCAACAAACGCATAAACTCACAAACATTCAAACGCACTTCATAATAACTAGTTGTTGTTCATTGTTTGGTTTTCATGCGATAAACAATTGCAATTCTTCAAACTCTAACGTGATTCTGTTAAAACTATAGACGATAATAATTTAAACGACAAAAATCGATCGAATGCAAGTGCACGTGCAATATAATGAAATTAAAACTCATTTTATTATTCTATCGATCCCACAAGTTAATCAAAAATAAATACGAGTTGTTTATCACAACGCAAAGTCTAATTAAAATAAATAAATAATTGAACACTATATAATATAGTGCTGAATACAATTGCATAATTTATCACAAGGTGCCTGTTGGACACCCTCATTATAGTGCTGCGATAAGATGATAAGGCTTTTGATAAATGCGTTTTGCAAGGTGTGCGAGCATTGTGCCGAAAGATTTAGCTAGAAAGAGGTGCGGGAATAGAAAAAATCGATATCGGAGTGACCGAAAACTGGGTCAGCTGGTAACTAAAATCGTAAGAACATTGAGCGAACAATGCAATGACCACATACACGTGGCAGAGTCCCGCGACCGTTTCCCATAGGTGCGCGGTTCACACACACCGCAAGTCAGCACGCAACCGCGCAACGACCCAACAACAACAACAAAGGCTCACACGAAATTGTGCGTACGGGCCCCATGGCTGTTTACGCAAAGGTTAAATCCGTTCAGCATCCGAGCGAAATCCGGCAACAATAATGAAATGAAATTTTACGGCTTATAAGTGAGCAACGAGTTGTTAACAATTCAAAAGTACAATGGAAGTTGATCATGGGGCATTTAAATAATAGTATTAAACATTTTACGGATACAATTGCTTAAATTGTTTATTAATATATTTAGAAATCGTCTTAAACGTTTTTTGTTACCCCGACCTTGATGAAGTTATCAAGGTAAGTAATGTACCTTAATAGGTTTACGAGGTTTACGAGGTGTGAAGAAAGTAATCAAAAATATTGTAGTTACCTGTTCCACTGTCAAAGTATCCCCATAATGGCAAGCCCACAGCTGTGGCACCGATGACAAAACAGACGAATCCCAGCACAGCAACACACGTCGAATATAAAGGCTTGTAGTTTTCCGCCATTTCCACTCATCATATTAATCCCATTCGAACAAAAATCACCATCACTAGAGCCAAATCTCAGCAACACTAATTCACTAAACCTTTCCTAGTCAAGGTCTTACTATGAACACCCCCCGGTTGTACTCGTATACGAAATGCGTGTCACTGTGTTAGCTTGTAAGAAGCAGGAACTACCTACAAGTTATATTTAGAGCACGTCAAGTCACGAGCGCGAAAAAATCAATAGAAAAACCACCAAGGAAATTCGATTTCAACTGGACTGCCGCATTTCCCGCCGTTCCCTCAGGCGTACTTCCGCTGGGAAAGATTGTCTGGCGAAATGACCACGCAGGATGCCGATCCCGACAGTGTGGTCTGAGTTTGTTTGAGAGACGCGCCCAAACGTCCGTCTCGGCATTCGCATTCGCGGGCGTTCTCACAGCGGTGAGAGTTTCGAGTTTGTCAGCAGGCGTTGTTTAGCGCCGTATGCAATGCAGGTCCGCGCGAATGGCATAAACCGTAAGCAGCGCCGATGATCGTCGTCCGGCCGGTCGGAGCGCGGAGAGAGAAAAGGTGAGGCCAGCAGGAGAGTGCCAGCAGGCAACAGGCGGCAACAGCGCAGTTGTTTGGTTTTTTTGTGATACACACCGATCGCGCGCTTCGTCTTCTTACGTTACCCGCGGATTATTTATGAACGATTAATGCACAAACACACTTTGTAAACACCCAGAGCAAAAATAACCAGCACACTGCACACCACCAAAATGATGATTTACGTCTTGTCTCTTGTAAAATGTCAAAAGACGCGCTTAAATCACACGCGCAACAATGACTTAAGTCTTGCAGAATGCTTCAACATCCAAAAGGTGTGCTCATCGCGTTGACAAGACAACTTATAGTCGTCTGAGCGCTCGCGCGCGCGCGTGTTCACCGCGGCGACTTGACGGTAAGTCACGTTGCTCACTTTTATGCACTGAAAACTTTCGTTGCAAATACTCACTTTCCTTCGTGCGTACGCTAATGGTACGCAAAGCACAAGGTGTGTGTGCGACTATAAGGCAAGCGCGTCGAAAACTAAAAGAGCGCCGGACGTTTGTTGGGTGTGCAAGCTCCTTGCGTTCGATATACGCGCGCCGTGGTCCGCGGAGTGCCGCGACCACTTCGTAAACCAGTTGACTCGGCGTTGGCGATGCCACGAATGATGCCTTCGCTGTTATGGACTCCCGCGTGCCTACCTATGCCGTGTGCTTCCAACGCTCCACACAACCTTGCTAGCGACAAACCGGCCGCTTCTATAATTATGCACAAACGCTTCCATTCCGCCCATCTACGGCCTTTAATTTTCGCTATTATTAGAAAAACGCGCGCGCAACTTTCGGCCACCAGCACGAGTCAATCAGGTTTCATACTAATGACGTAATTATTTATGAAACTCGCCTTCGATGTGCACGTCTTGTGTTTTACATTAAATTATTATGTGATGCGGTGCACTTTGGTTGCCAATTTACCACTTTGCTTGCTCATCGATTAATTACTGTCGGTTAATTAATTCATGCATCGACAGCATTCAATATTAACATGTTCTGAATTTCTAATGCGTTGTACACATAATATTTATTCACTCACCTAATAAGTTTAAAGGTTATGACTTCCACGCTATTAAGATTTTATATTTGTACGACAAATTGAAGGTCAAATGATTCACATAAATAATATAATGATTTCAATATCTCCCCTCCAGGTTTTAAATATGCACGCGTGTAATATCGCATGCATTCATTGTACCTTCGTGTTTGCATTATACTTTGGTCGGTATGCGGTAACAACAATGGATCGTATGCATGAGAGTTTAGCCAGAACTCACATTCGCTGAATGTTGGATACGTGATCGACATGCGACTTGACGGACGTGCCGATATGCATCTATTAATTGTATTTACAATTTATGACAATTTCCTCAGATTATTTTCCTGCGGATAAAAAAAATATTTTTGTCTGCAAATTGATACCTAGATGCTTTTACTGCCTTGTTTATAATAAATTTGTTCGTTTACACTTACTCATATGCCATACTAGGTACTATTTTATAAACAAACTTCGAGCAGTTGCGGTTATCAGGTTTCTGTGGTTTAAAACTAATAATTAATCACTATCCTAATAATTTATTACATGTTCTATATTTTCGTGCTGTATTGTTTAAATTTCATAAATATTTGAGTATTTAGTTAATAAATAGATACATTTATTTTATATGGGTTTACGTGCAACACTTTGTAGCAGTATGGCACAGTTAGAATAACAGAATAACTAACTATTCATATACATACATACTTCTCATGTAACCTTGGTTCGTGAATGTAAAACGCATAACAAAGTCGTCGACCGCGCGTTTCATACGCGTTTCTTGTTCGAACGAACTCTTCATTTCTTTTACCTTCAATGTTGACTAGATTTAAGGTTTTAACAATTACTGAGTTACTATTAAATAGTCTTTTTTGTTAGTGTAAGGAATTTACGTATTTAACATTTGCAATAAAATCGACAACACAAACGTGACTCAAAACAAGTCTGATTTGAAAGTTTATCTTCAAAGCTTTCGATTTCTTTAATCTGCTTTAGTAATTCAACATCCATTTACGAGTTTAGTTTAAATTTAACATTGATTCCCTCGAATAAAATGAGATAATCCTCTGAAAAACCTCACAGAAATAAACAAAAGTCTAAGCGATAAAATTAGAAGAAGCACATGGCTATTTATCGATGGTCATGAAGATAGTATTTATAGATTAGATCTTTTAGATGTAGGCTTAAAAATAGCGAGAACAAAGTGAGCTAATATAACACGCAATAAAGTGTATAATGTCAAAGTTAGTTATTTTGGAGTACTGGTGTAAGCACATTAAAATTAAAAAGATTTCTCGAGCAATATTTATTTTTGTTTGCCAAAAATTACTAGGACATCTAAACATTCTTTGTTTTATTTAAGTTGCCGCTTTCACAACAGCGGAATACACGTTATCTTACTTATATAAAAAAAAATTGTGCCATTGTATAAAAATTTATAAACGTATTTCCGCAGCTAGTGCAACAAGGCCCCATCAAAAGTAACGGTACGTACCGAAATTCTTTTACCAACGGATGATAAGTAGCAAGCTTCAACTGCAATAAAAACCAGCACGAACACCATTTGAACTTTCCCAGTACTCGTCGGTACGTTATTGAAACAAACTTTGAAAGTAACTCGGAAGGAATTCCTAAATATTGAAAGCAATAACAAAATATTTATAATAAAATATCTAACGGTTTACTATTCGACTACGTCTTTATTTTCTAATGATTAATACTTGTTTATCTTTGACGTGTAATCTATGTGACTTCCTATTGCTCACTAATTTTGTCTATCTTTTCAATTATACTGTGTGCGTGCAGTGGGATCTCATTGTTTGACTAAGCTACCTTTCATACATGTGATGCCTTTCATATTCGTGTACAGTTAAGCACACATCACACAAAATTGACTCATTTATTTAACGCTGTGAGCGAGAAAATGACAGTCGGAAATTTTCGGTGCACGACGGTGCACACATTCGGGAAGGTAGGCGTTGTGCAATCCGTATAACAGCACTTTCGAGATTCGAAACTAACTGGACTTGACGTGGAGAAGTTTGTAGGTAACTGTAGGTTCTTCCTAGACCACTACTTGCCGAACTTTCATAATAAATCGATGTATAAAACATGAAACTTGCACGTAGCGGAATATCTTTTATCTGGTACATCAAGTGCACATCCTAAAAGTTTAAAATAAATTAGTTTAAGTCATGCATAGAAAATTAAACTTAGTAAAATTTAATTACAAATTTGCAGTGTTTGTTTTATGCAGTAATTCAATGCAGAAAATGATTAATGCTACGCCAAGTCCAATTAACCAAATATAAAGTATTCCTGCTATTTGATCATAACTTAAAGCTTTACTAATATTTTTCTTCCTCTCACTAGTTCTTTCCTTAATTTGTGTTTGGTAATTATAAATCAATACAATATGCCCATAAATTCCACTTTCAAAAATAGCCTGTACAATTTTACTAACTTGCGGAAATATTGGATGCCCTTTTTGAAAAATCAATCTATTAGACAAAAACGACGAAAAATCTTTCAACGGAAATAAAGCCGGTGATCCATCCGGGAACGAAAAATCCTGCGGGGTTTTATTTCGTAGTAACTGCATGCTTTCCATGCTTTTTGCGTTACAAAAGTTGTCATATCACGTTTTGTTTTAAGCCTTATTATTGCCGACTCTACTTCCATCACAGAGCTCAAAGTCGTAGATATATTCAGAATGTACTTATCGATGGGATTAGTTGATATTTCAAATTTTTTTCTGACTGGATAAATCATTGAAATAGCTAATTTGTTATCAATTACTTCTTGTACTGTACTCATTTGATATTCAAACTCTACTCTTGTCAATATACCAACCAATGATCCTTCGAAAATAGACCCAATCATGAATATAAAGATCCATGTTGTTACGTGTAAGCATTTCAGCTGAAACGTAGGAGGCCATCGAGCTTCAACTTCTCCACAGAAAAATCGCAATACTTTGGTTATTGCATTCCATAATGAGAGATAATATGGAATTTTCTCTTTGAGCCGTCTTGGAATATAAATCCAAGCAAGAGTTAAAATCGTAACTCCTATCAAAATAAATATCCAGGCATTTAATGTGAAAATACGCGCTAGACGATAAAAATCCGATCGTTCTCTAGCAATCGGAACAATCCATACAAGATAATCCACTGAATATATATGAGTGAAATCAAAATCATCGATTGCATCAGGATGAAAGATTGTTGCACCACCAAGCATCAAATCGGCTTGTTTCTTTATAATAAAAGTTATTGCACCATTATATTCACCATTTGGTAGTTTTGTGCCCCAGAAAAGGACTGAAAACCACGCACTGTCTGCATTTGTAGATATGGCTTTATAACAGTTTCAAGAAATATTAAATCAGTTCCGCAGCCAGTGGAATTATCTTTATTTATATATTTGCATCGATCTGTATAGAAGGGCACAATGACTGAATATAATGGTTTGATTGTTGTATTTCTCCAGAGTCTTGGAATCTTCTCCGGAAAGTACTTTGGAGAGTTTTGTGTGGATATTTCTTGGAAAGTTATGTAAGGCTCGTTAAGATTTTCATACTTATAAGGGAAATATGTGTATGTTTTATTATTTGTTATAACTATGACGTTGTATATGTAATTTTTGCTTAAATTGTTGAATAATTCAGTTAAAATGGATTCTTGTGCTGATTGTAAATAAATAATAAATTTTGCTCTAGAATTCCAAAAGCGCATTGTTGATAATTCATTCAGAATCAATGGCATGTTAAATATTTGTATATTCAGGACATAAACATCAATTATTATAAACATGGAATGAATAATTAAATTCTTCGTAGAATTTTTACTTCTGGTGGATAATTAAACACCAATTTTGGTACTAAAGTGATTTTACTCATTAAATTATGTTGGTTATCACTACAATAAAATAAATTATCATTAGGGAGTATAGCTAGTTGTAGTATTTTATTAATGTATGCAATTTTTAAACTAAAATTAATTAAATGTTTGATAATTAGCATTTTGACCAAGTTGTTCACTAGATTTTTGAAAACTGGTACTGGTTAGACCTATTGTTTGGTATTTTATTAGAAAATGTACAGTAAAAAGCGTAAAAAGTTTCTTTTGCAAAAAAGTAAGTATTACTTGTTTGTTACTTGTAAAACATTAAAGGTAGGAGTTTTCCAATTGTTGCAATGTTTGTACATAAGACTATAATCATTATATAAATGATTATCAATTGCTTATAAAACTTCCTGGTACATTGTTTTTCATTTACAAAAAAATATTAACCTATATAGTTGTAAACTTATAATGTAGTATGTAAAGTTGGGTTTTTTGCATTATGACCTATTATAATATGCCACACTAATACACTAAAAAGTTTAAATATGACGCACGTGAAATTATATTCTCGCACATTTTTAGCTTTACAAAATAATTGCACCAAGTTTGCAGTCATTGACGACACTGGCTTTTCACATCGTCTATTTTCTATTATGAATATTACTCGAGGGTGAATGCGAACGTCACACCAACGCCCGGCGTTCTAACTGGAATTTATGAAACAGTATTTAATGGACGTATAGAATGCAAATATGCTGAAATAGCATTAACACTTTATAACATTAGTAAAGTAAATGTTGGTGGTAGTAAATGTTGAAATAATTCTAGTTTCTGCTCTCCGAGATTATTAAAATAACTACGTCATGACTTCGAAAAGCGAAATTATTTTATTGCGTTAAAAATGGATCACAATTAAATTCCAAATAAATATTATTACTAAAACTATGCAATTAAAATTTTGTGCATATATTTACACCGAAATAATATAACGGTGTAACAAAATCATAAAAATGGTGAATACTTGGATACTTGGAACTCAATATTATATTATTATATTATTTGGAATCTGTTACGTTTTATTTCATTTATCCTATTAACTAAAACCAAGTTACGCAGCATTATTTTTCATTTGCAATGCACCTCTTCATTCGTGCAACAACATAAAAACGTGAGTCGGCTATAAAGTTGTATAATTCCAGTTATATTTCTGCAGCATTGTGTTATTCTCCAACCCTTTATAAACCCCGGTTCTAGGAGCTGGGAATTTGTGTTATTTTGTTTCCTAACTTAAATTTTGACCACTTCCTAACTCAAACATTAATATTTATCAATAAATATAAACTATGGTTACATCCACATATCTCTATCATTTCTACAATATTAATCCTTCCTGGTCAAATTAAATATGCAAATAGTTTGAAAAACATGCCTGATAATGCATATTTGACATGAATAATGATGGGAGACGATCAATAACATTTGCACATCGCTGAGCAGCCGTAAATATTTCACGTTAGCCACAAAGGATTAAGCATAGTTTGTAAATTGTTGTTTTATTTATTGTTTTGTCTAACTTTATACCTGATAAAACGTTTTAGTTTATGTGTGGATCCATAAATGTTTCATGTGCACTATAATACACAACGAGAATAAATAATTGTTATTGTTTCAATTGTTTTAGATGACTAATTGAGAACGAGGTACGTCTATGTGCAAGGTTTACGGTGAGGTGATGGCATGCTGCTGATTTTTAATTATTTTTATTGCAATCTTAATTGTTGTGATGAAATATCAACAACAAGTGTGACTAACATAATTAATTGTTTAAAGAACTCCTTTTTTAAATAAATAAATTATTATCTGTATTATCCAAATATTCCTGTTTGATAAAGGTCTGCATAAATTTAGTGATGATGAGTTCAGATTGCAATTTGCATATTTATTAAATCCTTGCATGAAATGAACGCAGGCTCACATTTTGACACTGCAGATTGCTGTGTATTATCACACAAATCACCAGTATGATTAAATTCTACTAATTAAGTAAACAGACAGGTCAATCATTCTCCACAGAAAATAAAGTTGATTATTAATTTTTAATTTTTTTGTCGCTGTTATCACAGGTTTGTAATTCAATAGGATTTTTGTGAGTGGTAAATAAAAGTTTTGTATTACATGTTTTTCTGCGTGCAGTTAGCATTGATAATTTGGTAAGCCTACGCTACGCTTTCATGCAGTCTATACAAACGTATTGTTTTCGACTGCTAATTAAACATGATGACCTTTGACATTAGGTTATTTAATCATTTGCGCAGCCAGAAGCTATAGAAATTCCACGTGTTATGGTCGTAACCAAACTCGGCCAGTGGAATGTCAACGTACTATGAATTTATTTTAAATGGAATTCAATCTGTGTTAAATGATGACAACTAATGAACAACGCTAAATATAATCATATTATATTATCTGTTATCGGTGAATATCTAAAGCATTTAATTAAATAACCCTAAAAATGTTTTAAATTGTGCGTATCGCAAGGAAATGAATTTTTGTTTGATTGTAGATTCATGTTTCAAGAAAATGTTTTTCGCCAAATTGCGTCATTCCAGTTTCATTTTATTGAATATAAAAATATAAAAACGAATAGACATTAATTTACTAATAAAATATTTTATGTATTTAAATATTTAATAAAGCGTTATAATTTTGCTACATTTTTGCAGTTAACATTTTTGTTTTGGAGCAAATTTTGTTAATGAAGTTTCTATCAACTTCTAGGAAAAAATCTCTATCGATTCTACGCAGTTATTTTTTAGTTTGTGTAAAAGATTACTCATTATTATATCATCACGTAGTATTTGGGTTGTTTGTCGTGTGTCATATTCACTAATTCACACATTACAAGTAAAATATTGGTCTATTTCATCAACGCGCATTCGAATCACGTAACAGGTTACGTATATAGGCTCCAATTAACACTGCGATCAGTTAGCATCAAAGCCTCCGTAGGAACGTGGACATCTAGAAAGCTGGAAGTGCAATGTCGATAATAGCTTCAGCATGACACATTTGTAATTGAGGACAATGAAGAAGTATAAACGTACACTTAATAAATTATTTGATTATTAGATATTAGATTATTATTAACTTTTGACTATTTTTTGTTAACATATTATGGAAAATTTTCACTTGTCATAAAAATTGTAATGATATACAAAATTGCCAAAAATATATGAGCTATTCAACTTTGCTGCCTTTACATTCAGAACACAAATATATTCCTGTATTCCTGAGAGTTATTTTATTGCCAACCTATCAAAGCCAGAATTGCCCGATATGTGCTCCTCTGTGTACTTATATTTTCACATTACGTCCACCATTGCGTAGGTACATGAAATAGTTAGAGTGTTCATTACGGTTTTTATGCTTGGCTATTGACGCAACACTGTAGGCAACACTAGTTTCACGTGGCATAGACACCTCTTTAATTTCCGGCCAAATGACACCATTTGATGTTCTCAACAAGTTATACAAACACAAATTAAAGGTCAACTCTATAATCAATAAAACCCACTGTATGTTATTTGCTTTTACAGTTGAATTTCCACAAATATTTTCGCAGTAAATAAATTTCTTGATTTTTATTACGTCACTTGCATTTAGTTATAACATGCAAATAAATATTAGTTATTGATTTTACCAGGAGACGGAAGTGACTGAATTTATTGAAAGTCTAAGCGGATGAAGCGAATGTATGAAGTTTGATGGAAATTTTGCGTTGGCGTAATAATATTCCAAACTTAATAAAACACGTGTGAATCAAATTCAATGTTTGAGGAAACAGTATCTAAACTTCATTTTCGACGTCAACATACTTGTTTTCCTATTTTGATTGATTTTGATTGATTTGTATTTACTTACCTTTAAAAATTCAAATAGCTGAATTAAAATATTGTTGATAATGTTTTATTAAAATGCAAAACTCTGTAAATATGAATCAGGATGGAAAAATGTGTAGGAAAATAAAATAGTTATGCAACACTGTAGGCCAATTGATATATATTTTTAATATTGACAGAATGTTTTCAATGTTGTACCCTTTTCACATAGAAATAGATATAATCCATATGCTTATACATATTCATATTAGTTATATATTGTATATAATAATCATTTAGGTCGTTATCGAATCTCACAATCGCAATATGTTGCCTGCTTGTCATGCGCATCAAACATTATACTATTGTGTGATTCATTGATAAGAACGCCCGCCCTTCACGACGTAGCGCCTCCTCTAACAACAATTAATATATGTTCTTCCACGTTTTTCTTCAGATAGTAGTTTTTGACATCTATACAAACATTACATTACATATAGGTAATAGGTAAGTAATTATATATCTACTTAGTTTATTTATAGTTTGTTTAGTCATAGATCTTAATATATGTCTCACCAATCAATGTATAATGTAATGCAGTAGTGTTTCTTCAGGTTGAGAGTTTTTTCAAGAGAGAAAACGAAATCGTCAAACGCCGGACATGCATTCTTACTAGAGATGTGGCTGGATAGACCTCTACTAAGAGAGCAGCCGGCGAGGTCACCGCCGGAAGCGGAAACGTAAAATGTCAGCGGTATTTCAAGTACATACTTTTACAGCTTTCATGAATGTGTTTGCGTTACCAAGTATCCGAGAAGCTCAATGCGAATTAATTACGTTGCTACCACTTGCTCTTCCTTCTTCATTCTTCACCTCTACCACTTTGCACTTTGCCCCTGACCAATAATCCGATTTCAGTCTATTGTGAAATCGAATCCAAACAAGTCGCATTTAACTTCCCGGAGTCGGAATCAACTTGCTTCTATTTCTTTAATATGACTATCAAGTTTTATTATCGTTTTCATGTCTTTCCATTGTTCCAAACTAATTTTACCAAACAAGCCTCGAACTCATGTTCATATCAAAAATAATTTTCCGAATTTGTAGGAATATAAATTTAATTTAGTATAATTTTTAGTTCATTATCGCATCTCTTTTGGTTAGCATTTATCGATCAAAATTGTACATCACATTCATTTCGCCTTAGCGTTTTCATTTGACATTTCGCCATAAATTAATAAGAATCAAGTCGATCGATACTATGAACACGTGCATAGCATAAATCGTTTCTCAATGTATCCAAACGAAAACTAGTTCTAAGTAAATTAGTAATTATAACACAGTCGTATTCTTAACGGTTAATTAGAAAATTGAAACGAAAGCTTCAGTTCACAGAGAGGGAAAATGTTTTGTTCGAAGAATAGAATGTCCGTTGGTCGAGAGCCAGAAGTCGTCGTAAATGCAAAGCACAAGAAAATTCTTTCGAAACTTGCCCCAAAAAACAAAACAATTACAAAGTTTATTCAATTACATTTAGTTCCTTGTTTTATTCATCAAATGCAACAATGCAAGCAATTTTATTATCTGGATTTGACACAACTGGATTTACAATTATTGACAGCAGTTTCTAAAGAATTTTCTTGTGCTTTTAGAGGGGCCGTTTTAATAATTGTTGTTTGTATGTAAAAATTTCCGTAAAAATATTTTCTCATTCTAATGTGTATGATTTCTATATTGTTGTATTCTGGGGTTGCTTGTTGGTTGTGTTTGCTTTGTTGCTTTGGTATTTAGATGTTACTGTGGCGTGGCGGTGACCCGCGACGGTTTAACCCCATTTCTGGAAGAGACCCATTCGCTGGCAGCGACAGTTCGAGCCCCAAAGATTACAGCGGCACGAACTGTTGTAGCAGCAATCGTTCGGGCGGTGGTCACAATTGCCGCCACGGCGCACGCACGCTCGTCTGAAAAGGTAAATTAAGGAAGAACGTCTGGAAGGAAATTAGAAACTTCTTACGAAGACATCAAACAGATGACACATTCAACACTGTTTTCGGTCTCAATAACATGCAGAAATAAATCATTGTGATCATGCAATTAACTTCTATATCAAAACAATTAATCAATAAATATATTAAAAGCGCAAACTCTCATAATAGGATTTTTATAAAATTCTAATAAAGCCGGTTAAGCAACTTGAACATTCATTAACAAAAGCTTTTATAATTTACGCGCATTAATTAAGCGCATAATAAACTTTTTGCAGCATCAAAGTAAAATGTTCTTTTATTTTCGGTGCATAAATTGAAGCGATACTAAATTTAATCGGATAAAATTGGTTTGCCAATTAAGGTCCTTTATAAAGTTAGTATTAATACGATTAATGATATTTTTACAAGAAAAACATAAAATAAATTCTATTTTTGTCTGAAAAATAACAATGAAGATGCTTTGGTGCTTGAAAGCAGCTGAAATTTGTTGGTCAAGTCTATAAATACAAAAGCCATTCAACTAAATTGCGCACTCTGTGCGAAACAAACCCTAGCGAACACGCAAAGAAAACATTGGAGATGCTTCAAGTCTGCCGATCAAATTGCACATCTCCGGTGTACATCAACGCGAAAACTTCGAGGACTCATGAAATAAAGATACGCAATATACATGATTTTCCACTAGTGTGTAATATATCTGTCATCGGTGTCAACTTACTATGCAATCTTGTGTGCAAATGGTGAAGCTGCATGCTTTCTAGGAAGAATCTACACGACACAACCAGCTCAACAAGATTCTACTCACTTTTGCGCTGTTTGCAGAAGCCTGTCCAAAGTGTTCTCGCTGTAATCATCATCGGAAGCCATGCCGTCGTCTGCAACAAGAGATACGCACGTAAACAATCGACGCACAGCTGTGGTGCGAAAGATCCAGCGTGTGTGTGATATGTGTTGACTTTAATTAAATTCGCAAGTGGCATTAATTAACTACCGCTGAATGCCATCGGGTTGCTGGGTGGACGTACGAATGATGCTGGGCGGCAGTGACGTGTAAAGGAATTAGAAAATTCAATTAGTGTACGAATTTACGTAGACGAGTTGCTGGTGGTAAGGCTGCAAATGTTGTCGCAATCAATCACGCTGGATCTATACTGGGAATCAGGATGGCAGGGTGTCCAGCATTCGAGCGTAAACAATGACGTGGACTAATGGGACCGCTTTCGGGGCAAATTCTTGTGCAAACTAAAGTTAAATGTGACATTGCAATCTGTTTCGCCAATTTGTAAACAATTATTTCACTTGTAGCAACATTTATTGCATTCCAAAAAAATTTGAATTTTCCAGAATAGCTTCTCTAAAATATGCAAACAAGACTAACAAACTCTGTTGTATTTGTCTGCGATCTAATTTAATTAATAAAATAACCTTAAGAATTCCAAACCGTGTAATTGCACAACCGCAGAGGCATGTAAACGTGAAATTAATTCTCTGCGTAGATATAATACTTTTCTGAAAGTTTGTATTCATGTAAAAGGATATCTGGAAGGACCAACCGCTGAGACCTACACGATCATATTCATATGGATATTAAATTTTGCTTATTTTAGTGTTAGTGTTGGATGGCTCTGTTTGTTTGCCCCGACATTGCGGAATAGCATCTGGAATGGCATGCGAACTACGGTATCCGTTGTTCAAACCAACCCACAGCGTCAGAAATGAGGACAAATACTTCTGCGGAGAGTAGTATTTGCGTAAGAGACAAATGAATGCGAAAGGTTTGCGGATGGCAAATCTTGAAGGATTTGCGTCTAATAGCGTAGGATAACTCAGAATACAATTGGAGCGATGATCAACATACATTTAAGGTTATGAGAAGATTCGAAGCGTAAATGTTTTCAGAATCGATTCGAACTTTGTTCTCCGTCGGAAGATTTATAGATAAACTTTAAGTAGTTGAATTTTCAGGCCTTACTGAAATCCATCACCAGGAAATGAATTAGCACTTTGAAACTCACGCGAAGCAATTATTTCAAGATGAAAAATATTCTGACACTTGAAATGAATTTATTTTTATTTTTTTGAATTACCACCAAACATAAATTTTTCAGAGAGATAAAGTTGTTGAAGTAGATATTAATCAAGGTTTGCGTTTGCTGTTTTCCGCTTTTTGCTTTTACATTACTTTATCCGGTTTTATATTCGTCGTTTCTCAATCCGCCTCCGTTAATATTTTTCGCTTTAGATAAAATTCGCTCTGACACGCAAATGTGCCAACAGTACAAGCCACAATTTGCTTTCTATCGCGAATGTCGCGTCTGCTTGTATCAACTTAGTCCAATTTGTTTGTGCTTACGTTTAACGAAGGCGCCGGTAGCGACAACGACAGCGTCGCAATGAGGGCGCAAACATAATAAAGAGACTGGGTACATGAATGTCGTAGCTACATTGAAAAGAATAAATGGAAGAAGGAAAAACAAACATGGCCAATTTACAAAAAAATACTAAAAACACACAACGTTTATGTTCTTTTTATGTAAATTTTCGAGTATTTTTCTGACACCAACGCATTTAAATAAAAGAATCGCTGGCTAAAGTAAAAATTATTGCTATGGCTATAAACAATTAAAATTATACACATAAACATCTGATAATTTAAGATAAATGAAAAATATATCCTACGAAATTTATTTTTTGAAACTTTTATTTAGTAATATTTTAAAACTTAATATGAGATAAAACAACTTACTAAACCTGACCTAGAACGTGGTAAACACTAAATATGTGTGCTCACGTCGCTTTAGTAACTTTTATAGACTTTGCGTACATATTCCTGCAGGTAACACGCTCATTCCTTATTTCTTATTCGTCCTGTGTCGCATGCTTCCCTTTTGTGTACCTATTTTAATGCGATTACACCCCAGCAAGTTTCTTCATCCCAGCAAGTTTCTTAAGGATTAATACCTGCATGCATAAAATAGTTACTATAAAAATATTAACCGCATGCAAGTTTCAATTTTATTTTATTTTATTTTAGTTGCGAGTAATTGATTAACTTCATTGTTCTATCGCGCAACTAATAAATTTAGTGCAATTACTTTAATTGACCTTTTAAAAAATAATTAATTTAAATTATTAGGCAAATCCCTAGGACAATACATAAATTTTCTTTTCAAAATCTACTTTGAATATGCCAATTACATAGAGTTCAGTTAATTCAGTTAATTAACTAATTTACTACAGAATTTACACGCGCATTAACCACCACAATCGAATTTGCGCTAAACGTATTCCACCTCACATTATTTCCGTTGTATTGTTCGCAATAATTACAATACATATATATTATCACTCCTAATAAATTTAGTCAAACAATATATTATTATCTGAGTGGGTTCGGTAATGTGTAATCCCGTTGTATTATTACATTTTGATTGTTGTGTTCCTCAAATATCAGTTTATTGGTCACAATGACAAAAAATGTATGTTTAATGACAACATAATAAAAGGATCCAAAGAGTGAAGGTTTCAGGTAAATTTATCTAATGTTTGTGGAATCGTTGTTGATGAGTGTTTACTGTTTACGTATGCGGGCACTAGGTACACCAATATGTTCTAGTGGTCCACCTACGAACTATCGATTACTTGCCCGGTGTTGTGTCGCATGGCAATGCAAACTAATTCTGTCAGATCGAATTATTATCTACGTACTCATCTGCTATAAAGCTGACACCGGAATGTTTATCTTTAGAATTTAATTATTTGTTAAAGTACGTTCCAAATATTTTTTACTAAAAAATGAATTTATAAAACATTGAACCTATCACTAAAAATTAAATTATTATTTTCTACCTAAAATTACTTTTGCATTTAATACCAAAGCGCATAAAAAACTTCGGAAAAATGAGAAAATATAGAAAATTAGATTTTACTTTAGCACGCTGGTTTTGGGTTTATTCGTGCGGTAACTTCTAGTAGACTTCGGAGTTAACTTTTTGCTAACGAGATAACAGCAGAAGTTTTTAATTAACGCAAGGTGAAACGAAATAAAAGTAATCATTTTATTTTGCCAAGGCGTTCCACGAGTTGGTTGGAAAATACGTTTCACTCGGTTACAGTATCACTTAATATTACTTAATACATAATAAATTCATTTATCTTAATAGTTTTCTCCCCGCAGATATTCTTGTATAGAAATAATCAACAATCACACAAGAAAGAAAGAATTATATTAGTAAATTGCAATATATTAATCAATGATCAACGTTTCTTTATCAACCAATCTACTCTGAGTAATATTCAATTGTAATTGGGGTTACTAGGTTCAATTAATATAATTTATGCAATTCTTATATATTTTTTCTGGTGATTTCCGAATTTTTATAAATCAATTTTCTCATTTTAGTTCCTTTGAAAATGTAAATCGAACGGTTTGTACTTGTCAAGCATTCGAGCCGTTCAAAATGAAAATCTTCAGGCCAAAACGTTCGACATTGCTCAGATTGTTTGAATTGATTGTTTTTTCTTTCTTGTTTCACTCTCTCTTATGATTACTTGCGTCTTTTCGGTTTACAGTAATTTCTTGGTTCGTTTTCAAGCGTCGCCGACGGCATTGTATTACTTCCTATAAAAACGAATAAAAACAAATGAAAGGACACTTGCTAGGATTACGTTTCTATTTATTCATTCCATTTGTCCTTTGCTGTCCTTCTATTTGAAACTTTCCAAGCCGTCTCGAGTAGATTTCAGATATTTCCCTGAGCAAATCTTTTCACGAGCAAGAAGCAATGTTACATATCGTTCTTCTGGCTTCTGCTGGAATTCAAAACCTTTTTCAAATGCCACAATGTCATTGCCTTGCTTTTATTTGATATCTACGCAGGAAAAATATCGTTTTATTTGAATAAACTTTTTTCTTTGAAGTTTTTCTTTAACAGTAATTTTCTAAGGTCAATTGGGTAAATGGTTTTATTATACTTGGATTAATACTGATGTTAGTTTGTCTTTCAAACATTTATTCAGGCTTTGTGGTCTGCTTTGTTGCGGATGGTTGTGTTACAGGATAACAACCTTTGCCTTCTGGCACGTAGACGTGATTTGCTAGTGTGAGCGGCTCATCCTTTTATTCGTGAGGAAGCCTATATGTTGACGGGCTGAATTTCATCAGATATGTGAAGCCGAGAACATACACACTTGCCGGAGTGTGAAACACGGTAAAACCTCACACTCACAAAATAAAGTGCTAAAAAAATAAATTCCGGAAAAACCAAAATTAAGTTTTTCCTATTTAGTAAATCATTTTTTTTAAGATATCCTTTCTAAAAGCTGGAAAGATCGACATCACCAATCATTCAACTAAACATGATCTAAAGAAATCAACAAAGCCACCGGGTAAAAAGAAACCGTACGTGTTGCACATAAATATAAGCACAATCAAGCTTCCCGCTACAGGAAGCAAACGCATTCATTCGAGAACGCGCTTTCCAGTGACGGCAATAAAAAAGCGAAGGATACGTTTTAGTTCGCAGGTCAACATTGTGTCAGGATCACTCTTTACGATGTGGATATCCTTCACATGACAAGAATATATCCCGCCTATTCATTTCGCGAATGTCTCTATAAGGATTATTACAGAAGATAAATGACCACAATATCAGAAAATTTCCTATTCTAGGTCAGAAAAAATGACAAAAAATTTTGGGACGGCAATATCTGTAGGATATTGTCTAAATTACATGACAAATGGCGAGTTCTTTTTTAGGCTTGGCGGGACTATAAATTTTCCTTTTAAATGTATTCGCACTAAATATTAACAAAAAAAGATAATTTATCAATATTTATGTAAGAGTTTTTTCTAAATAATTGACTGTGTAACAGTATACCAACATATGGCACATAAAATTTAATGTTACCATAACGCAATAATAAACATGAATTATTTTTATGTTTGTTTTTACCTTCGTCTAGATAAGGATCAGCATCAACGTCTGCAGGTAGTGTTGTGACGGCGACCAGCAAACAGGTGACCGCCAATAACCAAGCCGACTTCATTGCGCAACAGGAATTTTTGGACTCCGGTTCAACTTGCGTTACACCTTCTCGCAACTTGTACGATTCCTGTGACTTGCGTAACTCGCGAGTCAGATAGACAAATACGTCAGAAAACTTTTCCGCACAGTGAATGCAAAACGTATCAAACAAAAAGTGAGCAACGCGAATTAATCAACACGCGCGCGTACGTGTCCGTCCACAAAACCGTCGGCGTTTGTTCTTCGTGTGCGGGTGTCTGCAGACGAAGTGCAAGCAGCACGAGCAGGAGCGGCTGTATGGACCGCGTCGAAATGAGCGACGCGACGTTCACGCTGCGGCAGTTATACGCGCGTCGGTGATAAGGACGCGCGAGCGCGCGCCGGCCCCTCCCAGCGCCGCGACCAACACATAGCCGGTGGCGGTGGCGGCGGCGGCGGTGTCTTCGCGCGTGTCATGCGTGCATGCAAGGCGCCCACACATCGCGCAATCCTTTACAGCGTGGAATTTTGTTTCGCATCGCACATTCCGCCGCATTCCGATATCTGTTGCTAGATAGCTTTTATCTGTTGCTTCTTGTGGAATGCTGGACATTTGCAAATTGTAAAGGGTAGACAGAATTTATACAAATTTTAATCACAAATAAAGAAAAACTTGTGTAGGAAAGATAATTAGTTCAAATATAAAAACATGAGAAAGTCATAAAATATGCCAACGACACCGCAAATATGATGAGGAAGGACGAAACCAAGAAATTCCAGTGAAGCACTCTCTGCGTGAGTGCTTTTAGTGGACGTGGAAAAGTAGAAGAAAATTATTCTTTAAGGCAATGTCTGATGTATTCTTAAAAGGGTTGTTGATATTTAATTGGCTAGTTAACTTTTAACAAAGCAATTCTGTGTAATTTTTTCTCAGTATTTATTCTAGCTGCATGTTCTTAATGATATCAATTTAATGGCGTATTTATAAACAGACATATTTTTGAGTATTGATAGTCAAATAATGAATTATATATTATGTATCTATACCTACTAGACACACATCAGTTTTTTAAAAAATTATTTTTAGATTTTAACCATTCAATGAGTGATGGCGGAGGCGCCTGACATTTTAGTTAAAAGTTCTTCTAATTATTAGAAGCTAAAAATACCATTACGTAGTGCGGCTTTTATTTGACTTCCTTTCATATATATTATATTTAATTGATAATTGTATTTGTTCACCCTGTACTTGCATTTAATTAGGACCTGTACTTGCAACCCTATTTAAATATTGATTATCTCAAAAATTAATGAAAATTAACAAGAACGGTAAACGACATAGTATTAAGCAACAGATTCTTTATAACATGAGATTTTAAAATTCTTATTTCAAATATAATGGAAAACTATTTTCTATGCCGATTTCCTCGAAAACTATTAAAGTTGAATGGCAAATCTTTCGCTTATTTTTCATGTATTAACAAGAGTATGTAAAATGGCATATATAGTTTTTTTATTCCAAGAAATTGACAAAAAACCTCTTGCCTATTATTTGACTTTAAAATAATTATTTTATTATTATTTTTGGAACAAAACAATAGGAAACTACAAAGAGATGAAAAATATCTAGTCACTATTTTTATAACACCAATATCTTGTAAAATTTAGGTATAAAACGGCCAAATTGTCAAATTGAACGAAAACTCGGATTTCTACCAAATTTTTCAAACTTGGAAAAATATAGAAAAAAAATAATACATTTTCATGGGTATTTAAATTACTTCCTGAAGGTTTTGACGGTTAAAAATGTATTCTCACCGAAGGATTTTTATCAAATATTTAAAAAGTCTTTTATATTCTACAAAAACTTGTATTTTAATGAAATTAAATATTATGTGTAACAATAACAGTGGTTGACTAGTTCATTTCTACTTTATATTATCACAAATCAATTAATTAAATAAAAAAAAAGGAAATGTTATGCTTAAATCAGGTATACATTACATAACTCTTAATTAATTTACTAATCATAAAAACTGCGCTGTTTGATATTTCTACTCTTCTACTCTTATCAATGAATTAACCATTCTCACTCATTTTTATTATTATTGAAATTATCTATTTATTATTCAGATTATTTTTTTATTTTTTGCATTATAATGTTGTATTTCAACAGTTAAATTTTTAACTTGATAGTTTTAATTTTTATTAATTAGAGTTTTGTAGTATTTGCATTACAATCAACCCGCATCATTATTAAGAGTGAAATACTGTTTACGTAAACTTACATAAACTAATAAAACTCATCTAGATTGTTAAAATGATCTGCAATACAAATGCTTCCTAGGCATCGTTATAATTTTTAATTGCTACGCTTCAAATCTATTCCTAAAAAATTGCTATAAAACTACAGTATCTTTGGCATTTTAAAAACGGTTCGTATTGCCAATTAATTCATGTAAAACTACTACCAACTACTGCATTGGAATGCTTAATAATATTTTCAAATTTGTGCAATCTGAGATGTTTAGATTTTTACTATCTACATGGAATGATTTTGTTGTATTAATAATTTTAGACGATAAAATTCTCACTCTAGTGTTTTGTGTATGTCATAGTTTTTCAACTAATTAACTAAATTATCGTCATAGTAAAATTATTAGAATTTCGATTGACTCTAAATTGATACACGTTTTGAAAATTGACTTACAATTGATAACTACTTTTTATATTTAAATTATTGCAATTAATGTTATTAGTATTTAACTCATCGTAGTAGCGTACCAACTAATTGTGTTTACAATTAAATCCACTCAAATCACTACTTTTAAAGCTGTAACTTCAACTTGTAGCTATATTCTTACTGCAAAGTTTTACAATTTGATTGAGCAGCATGATTTACAACTAAATTAACTTAACAAAGTGCATAGGTTTACAAAAACATATTGTTCAGTTTTAAAAGGCAGTTGCTGTTTCGTATTTTTGTCGCTTTCTTAACTAATACAGTCTATTATTCTACAGGTTTGGTTAGGAACAAAACTTAGTACTTGTGCACTAGCAAAAAATATATCAAATGCTATTTTAACAATAACAACCTACTTATCTACATCATTCTATGTATGACGATTTACTTATTTGAATCTTTTTTTGTCACACTTTTAATATCATTGTCATATATTTTGTTTCTTTGTATGGACGTGTTTAGCGTTGAATGCATTGATAATGATTATGAATTAGTTAATATTTATCAGTTTATGTTAATAACAGACGTCAAACAACAACATAACGAGTGAGTTCACAACCAATGGTATTGTTTAATTATTATGAGTATGTTTTTTTTTCATCTCTGTTATTGAACATATTGAAATTGCTTTTTTCGCATACGGTAAAAAGAAATTTACGGCGGTACTTATATACTTAAACTATTGCACCTTACATTTGGAATTTCGTTTATACTTAGTAGCTAAATTATTAATGATATTATTATATTGTCGTGTATTTTTCATTAGGTACGGATAACGCCACTTGTTGCGCTTCATTAGCTCATTTGACTTGCGCTTCACACCCGGCCAGTGAATGAGGAACGCATTGTCAAGGATCACAAATCGATATCCTTTAAGGCACATTTCCAACATCTGCAACATAAATTTTAATTATAAATCTGTTTAATGTCTTTACCAAATAAGAAAATAATTTCAAAATTGCTACCACTTATTACAGCCCGACAAATTGGCAATAAGAAACCATAAACTTGCATTAGCATATAAAAATGAAGCAATTTAAAAATCTAATAACGTTATAAGAGTATAATTTACATGCAAAACGTTTCATGCATAAGAGAGGTGCGAGAGTAAGCACCCTTTCTTCATTACTTGAGTCATCTTATCCTGTTTGCCCTCCCACGAAAGCGCTTCGCTGTAGAATGGCTCATCCTTCGTGCCGATGTAAATTGGCTCCCAACGGTGAAACGGATACTCACGCTTCACCACCGTCAACGGCTGCAACAGGACACCAAAGGAAAAAATCAATGAACATCTCGAAATTGCGTCCTACGCTCCGATTCGCTCCTCTCGACATTTCAATTACATTTGAGAAACATCTCACAATGAAGAAAAATATACGGTTGTTTTATTTGCTTCGGAAAGGTTCGAAAAGGGTCAAACAAAAATACCACTCATACAGACATAAAATCTGGTGTGGTTCTATGTAGTATTTTATTGTATTCTTATCTTTTGGTTTGGGTGGAGATAAAATTTCAATTATGAGCAGGCGATGCAAAGTATAACAAACGAAAAAAAAGCAAAAGGAAGAGAAAAAGTTAAATAATCCGACAGGATATACTTATATTGTATAATAATATAAACTCAACGCGGTATAAAATCATTCAAAATTGGTTAATAAAAAGGAAAAACTGAAAAACGCAAATTAAATAACTTTATATTTTATTCTAAAAATGTTAGTAAATTTATATGATCAAATTGGATACTCTATTAATAATTTAAGATACTAAATGTTGGTGCAATGTTACCGTAATAAATATAGATTAGTCTGTGGCTTCGTACGAGCTTTTCCCTTGTGAGTACTCATAGCTACACTCGGCTTGAGTGTATTAACACCGAATGTGAATTATAGATAAGGGATATTCACCTTAATCTCATTAGTATTAGAATCCAGCTGCAGCCAATTCTCCAAACCGGGAAACTTCTGACAGTGCGAACAAATGTGCCTATGAAAATACAACGCTTTCTCTTCTCTGATGAGCTTGAGCAGCTGGCTTTTCGTGCGTGGAATCTCTTCGTATTTCTCTATCTCGAAAACCGGTGTGACGAAGACGCGGGACGGATAATTGAGTCGCTTCATATTGGCGTAGCGCCGCATCATCTGGCTAAATCTATTTGCCAAATGTTCGCTCGGCATCAGTTCCACATCCGAGACAAGCACGTATTCCGTAGACGCAGCTTTTCTAGCCACATTCCTGCCTAAGTTCACAGGATAAGGTAGGTGTTTAGTTGTGCGGTAGGTCATTGTTTCGGAAGCGTCTGAAACTTCACACGAAGTAAACTCTTCTTTATGCGTTGATCTTTCGATAAACGGAGGATGCGCTGCTGGGAAGACATAGTGTACAGATACCTTAGCCATTTCAGGTAGGCATTGACACGCCTGCATTAGACGACGCGTCACAAAATCAGCATCATCATCTGGAACAAACGCTGCCACACTGATAAGACCATCCCACGAGCGCGCAATCTCTGATATGTAATCGACAAATTCAGGAGTCACGTGCGTAGCGTAGGTCACCTGGTCTGTGCCATTGAGTACATCTTCGTGTGTTTTACCACCCTTGCCATCTTTGCCAACCCCCGTTAATGAATGCGTATACTGCTGAGCCTCAAGCACATTATACAACACGCGATACGACGATTTTGCGTTCGATTCTGGACTGCCCTCCAGGTCGGCGGGCAGGTATCCAAAACGCGTGGGCAGACCATACCTGAATGTGCAATAGCTCTCGTTGTTCAGTCTGCGCTCGGCGAGGAAGGCGCCCGGCCGTCGGCTGTTTGTGTACTTATAACTCACCAGCTCACTGTACTGTCCTCCATGGAGGATACCTGGTCGTCGGTTAACAAATGTGATCAACATTATCAAGGAGGTGAGGACTGTTGTCAGCAGTACGAAACTTTTCGCCTTCGCAAAGAGTCTACGGTTGCATCGCATGATAAATCAGCAAACCTGTATTCACTCATCAAAGGGGGTAGATGGTGTGGGCGTCATTGTCTCCCTCGATGTGGAAACTGGCTAATTGATATCAATTAGCGCCAATTTGCAGGGGTATTTTTACGTGGAGGTAAGCGTTCCATAGGTAAACACACGTTGCACCGCACATCATTAATGCAGGGGCACGCAAGCGTGTTCGTGACGTTTCCATTATATTATCACACACGTGTCATTCACGTTTGCTTTGCTTAATTGGCTCTATAACACCGGCGCTGCTACCACAACCTTAATTAACAAACAACAGTTAACAATTTCACTGGGAAACTTTGCTCATTCGAGATAATTGTAAAACACAATAATTTATTTAACAATTAAAACTTCATTGTTTAATATTTGCTTAATTTATTTTCAGGATTTAACCACGCACGTTTTGTTTTTTTTTTTTCGTTTAATTGTAATAATATTATTTACGGATGTTTATACGAGTATTACCTTTGTGTACACCGGCACGTTTATAATTAATGATGTGATTTATACCATTTGGTTGAGAGGATTTAGATGTCGTCGAGGTGTATCAGCAGTGACTTTTTGCGTTATTAGCGTATTGGAGTATAGTTGTTATTGTTTGTTGTTGACATTGCTACGCCTACGCGACGCTTGTTATTGTCGTTGTTTTTTGGCGGTGCGATGCGGTGCGCGTTGTGCGTCTGTGTTGTGATTGTCGGTGGCTGACAGAGGATGAAACGCGAGCTTTCGGTCGCTAGGGACGGCGAGCGCCGCCTGGTGGCGCGGTGTATTTACCCGCAACGCCGGCCCGCCTCCGCCGCCACCACCGCTCTTTATTATGCCCGTACTTTGTGCCGTAATTTCTGGCCGCGCGCGCGAGTTGCACACGCTGCGATGCGATGCGAAACAACGTGCGCACATCGGGACGGCGGCGATGACGACGTGCTGCGCGTGCATGCGGGCGGCAGCACGCGGACGGCATTCCGATGCTTGCTACTGCCGCCGCCACCGCGCGCTGCGTCGCCGCCGGGAAATCGATAACTGCGACAGTTACCAAAGCCGAGCAAGCGTAGCATGCGGGCAAAAAGGAAAGACGCATTATGTAACGCCGCAGATTCTGACGGCGCGCCGCGGTAAGCTCGCTGAAACTTCTAATTCGTGGCGTGGGAGGCGACATTCAGACGTATCTAAATGATGCGAGCGACCTAGACATACACGCTTTGCTTTATGCTTTATGAATTCATTTTCGTGCAGTATTGTATGAAAATCTGGATGTTTTTGTCTGCGGTTGTATGATACCAAGTGTTTCAAAACATAGCCCAGAACAGATACAATCCTGAATAATTATCCTCTTTTAACTTGGATTAATTTTTCACGGTCGATTAGTTATTTGAAAACTAATAGTCTATAAAACAAACGCGTAGGCAGAAGAAATACATTTCGCCAAACCATTCGTTAAAATAAACTGCCTTAGAAGTCATTTGTTTGTCTTATCAGTACACCTAGTAAGTAACACTCCAAATGCATACTGATGCGACTACCGCGACGGCACGGCGCGGCGTTCAGGTTGAATATAGGACACACGAAAGTAGGGGGCGGAAGTGAAGTGAAGGACGGTCGGGAGATAGCAGTTCCGACAGCTTTGGCAACGGCAATCGTGAATTTAAGTTGCCATCGACCTCCAATGCGTTTGGCAATCTTTCGTATTTTCCATCAACTTGTTTTCAAGTAATATGTCCTTAAACCCTACCTTCAAATAAATTTCAATATGCTAAATATTTCTTTAATAAAGAGTAAGTTATTGGAAATTTAATTTCGAAATATGCACAAAAGTTAATTAAAATGGTGGCACAAGAAACGGAGAAAGGAAGTGTAAGGAAAATAAAGTTATATCTTGTATCAGACCCAAAATGAAAGTGATATTTATTGACCTTCCACTGCGGCACATTCATTTCTTTAGTGTCGTTTCCGTTTTCGTTTCGCACCATTCCCTAACAGAGTGCTCCCTAAAGAAAAGCAGGCACTAGAATGTTACAAACCTTTTTTGTTAGTTTTCGAATTTATTTTCGACCGACATTTTGTAACATTGAGCATAACGGTTTACAAATACTTTAAACATAATAATCAATAAAGCATCCGGAATCCATTAATACTTGTCCAAACTTGTGCGCTGGAGTTTGGTGCATTGTAAGTATGAAAAATTATATGACTATATCCGCAGCACTCTAATTTAAAATATTAAAATAGATTTCTTTACTTTACAAAACAAAATAAAATAAAACTAAAAAGTTCGATAATTTGTTAGTGTCGAACATTAAAGGTCGAATTGGTAAACTTTTACATCAAACTACATATATAAGAGTAAAGAGTTTGAAAAGCAAAGAAAGTACAAAAAACTTTCGCGTTTTGAGAGTTTTAGTTTTGGTTTCAGTAAATAATGTATATAATTTATTGTTTCCAATGCGACAATTCGGAAGGTCGCATTGGCTGCATCACAAATTATTGTAGGGTTAACAAAATTTTATTCTTTGATATCAACCAACTAATACAAACACTGATATTGATAAGATCATATTATATACTTTCATTCAATGGGTATTTAACAAAATTAACTCGATATGGTACAAAATTTTCATGTGTAGGTATACTCAAAAACACTTGAAATAAATTTATTAGAAATGACTATTTGTCATGCAACAGTTGAGATTGTAATTAAACAATATTACAAATTAAAACATTGAAATTGATTCAACACGTTCGATTAGAAAGAAAATAAATATTGTGATTTTTGCCGACCAGGTCTTTATTAACAATAACCACGAATTATTTTTTATAATAAATATAATTTATATTTCGTGCAAAAATAAAATTTGATAATTGATTCATTCTAAACACGCTATGATAAAACGTAGTTGTGGGTAAAAAAGAAAGTTTGCAATTGTAAATTAAAAGTTTGACATTTACTAATTTAATTATAAAAAAGCATAATATTGACTTTTTCCGCAATGTTTGCGTGCACATAGACCGACGATCATGACTTTATGTTCTCGTTGAAATTAAAATATCAATTGAAATGTACGAGTATACGACACCAATGACTTGAAGGACGACATCAAGTCGGTAAGTGAAATTCAGTTCATGTTACTTTTCGCATATAAACTGGAAATAACGTACTCCCGTATCACTTTATGAAGTCGTTCAATTAGAATTTCAATTTTATAACACTATAGGTACCCTACAGTATATATTCTATACTTTCTTATACAGATTCACATTTACGACATGCCATTTCATTTTTAAGTGAAGCTATAAACATATAAACATATAAACTTTTTATTACAATACTCGTACATCGTCAAGACCCGTATTAATATTTGCAATGTTTTTATTAATCATACGTTGATTTAAAACTAGTACTTTAATAATAAAAATACAAATATTACTAATTTATCATAATGATATCGCATGATCGATCAGATGTAACAACACGCGCAAAGAAATACAGTCAAAAGTATCGAAAAACATTTTCATGCGCATAATTGACTTAAATTGCCGACTACAATCCAAAAACAATACAACTCCAAAAAAACGCAAAGTTTCTGGCAACACACAAACAAAACACACTTACAATTACAACCAAACGAAAATTAGACATATTTTTCGTCACAGTGCACACTTTAATAATAATAATAATGAAACATACATATACGTTTACTTTGTATTCAAAACAACTCGTTTATTCAGTACACAGTCTCTTTCTCTTTCTTTAATTGTTATATTACACATGAGAATTCCATAATTTTGCGCTGCGGTATTTTCTTACTCCCTGTGCGTGCAAGAAGCTGATGTTATTAGAATTTCACTAATTTGTAAGTCTTTCAACTCCGACCAATCTTGACGATCACATTTATTATTTAATGCGTTCATTGCACTATTAGTGTATCCGTATAAATGCTATAAATAACTTAAGGTGTTTGCATTTGGAACGATTACCGCAACGCAATTTTCCCATCTTCGTACTTGATAGAATGAGGATTATTTACCTCAAGTAATATAATTGACATAGCTACCAACATTTTTGGAGTTCGAGTACAATTCGAGGCTATTGAATCGTTTGTGTTTTGCGTTCAATTTCAACCCTTGTCTGCCGATGAACGCACACAACATCAATTTCACTGTTGGTCGACACATTTCGATCCACAGCACGCACACAATTATCCGAGTGCGTGCAATGTAACGTTCCACTCATCTAACGCGCAATAAATATCACAATGTCTGGGTATAACCTATACTAGTAGTAGTATTTTGCGGGTTCTAGAACCAAATCTGCCTATGTTATAGAATAGCCAGTCTACTACTACTTAAAAAGTTGAGCCATTGTTCATATCGTGACGATTTTTTTCTTTTACAACATTGAAAATGCCGAAAAATAAAAGAATATTATACAGAGTGTATTTAAAACATTCATAGCACTTAAAAAAATAGTCTAATGCGCAATTGTGCTCTAATGGAAATATTAATGTTGTTAAAATGACAGTAATATGTGTACAAAATTAATACACAAAGAAAAAGCATGATATTTTGAAGCGCCGAACACATTTGTCCACACACGTATTAAATCGAACTGGGCTAGATTAGATTGAAGCGAATAACACGGAAAAACATAGAGGCAAGCGTGTGAGTGCGTCGAGGAAATCATGAAAATAATGGAAGCAATCGTGTATGCTGAATGTTGTTAGTAAAACACGTTGCGTTGTGGCAGGCGCGTTGTTTATGTAGTTTTCCAGCTCGCAGTGCCTTTCGGTTTCACTTTATTGAACACTCGCCGTTTCAACAGTTAATGTGCGTCAGTCCTTCGTTCAAATCATATGTTAGCCGCGCTTTGAAAACTTTTCAAAAATCGAAGAAAAAACTACTTTACTCTGGTGCAGTAACTAATGCAAACTTACTTCAACATTCAACGCCTTGGTTTCCTTTTGCTTCATTTGCTTTGTTGGTGAATTAATGCGGTTGTTGTGAGTGGATATTTTTGTGCGGTGGTTGCTGTGATTGGTGCGGGGAAATTTTTGGTGGCGAAAACTTTTTCTCAGTAGTTTACATAGTGACAGTTAGTTCGCGTTGGTGGTTATGACATGACACGAAGCACCAGTCAGTGAAATTGTGGAATGGAATTATATAAAGAGCCAAGAATGTATCAACTTTAAGCACGAGTTTTGTTTTATTCTTCGTGTGCTGCAGTAAATATAATTATTTAATGTTTTAGTTATTAGTGTGCACTGCACGCCATTTTGAAAATGCAAATATTTGAGCTTTATATTTATTCATGAAGTTCGCATATTGTTAACATGTGACATTATAAGACAAATTTTAGAGCTATTTATTTTAGCCACAACTACATCAACTGCTTTTGTTATTCTATAACTGGGAACTTTAAATTGTTATTATAACTATGTATTGTCACTAATACTGTCTGTTTCGAACCACCAATTAGTTATAGCAATAACAATATTCAAAAATGTGATTCATACTCGCGTTGAATAAAATTTCTGCCAATATAATCATTTATATCACTTTATCTGCACAATAGCGTCATATTACGTATACATTTTGTTGGGTTTTATCACATCAGCATAATTTTAGCGTGGTAAATTTGTTTTTAATCTCTTGACGTCACCCTTTTCTGCATCACCGTATCCTTAATCACATTCTGACGCTCTATTGTATGTCGCATTTTGCAGCGTCACCGCCTCCGCTATTCTTTTGTATTATATGTAAATCAATAGTCACAAAACATAATAATATAAATATGAATCCAACATTGACGCAAGTAAATAGTATATATGATCTTCGAAAGTAACTGTAACCTACAAATTGTACTTATATTTTTTAATTGTTATTTACTACCTAGTAGAGCACGAAACACGAGTAGTTGGAGCCGATTCGTAACCATCAACCGTAAAACAGCAGAACTCAATTATCGATATAATGTGCAGGAACCAACAGAAATGGCACGCGAATTAAAAACCCAATCATACTTACAGGGCATTAAAATTCTCCGCTGTATTTCAATTTATTTGAAAAATAAAGTGTATCCAGTTATAACTTAAATTTGCTAGCGTTGCAATTTGGTAAGAAATACATTTAAAACGCGGATTAAAACTTTTCCGTTTACTTTAATCTATCTTATTGCAAGGATTTCCCTGTAGGATAATTGCATTTTCCATCCAGAAACTTGGCACTTCTGCAAAACCAGACTTTCGGAGTGCGAATCGCTGCAAAAGCAAAATGTTACACTATAATGTAACAGTTACCTGGAAAACTTAGTTAGCTATGAACTCATGAACTCATCAATGTCAAAAAAGAAAAAGAAAACTGTGTAGAGAATGCAATTTGGACTCAGTTGTAAACTGAACACTCTAGCGTTAAAACCCATTCATTTGAGCTACGTTAACATTGTTAAAGATTGATAACAACAAGATGTTTAATAAAAATCGTGGAAAAAAAGTTAAACAAAATAAACATGCAATGTCGAAGCTATTATCGTCATTTCCGGGAGTGATTCGTGTTCATCCGATTTATCAGCATGAGGTGAATTAACAAGTTATCTTTTGTTAGCTGTCAACACAAATTTAATAATTTAGTAATCTACATTTGATTTTTTTACTCACCTGTATGTAGGATATTAAAAAGGTTGCCAAATTTAACTAAAAATGGTAAAATAATGGATTTTTGGTGTTATTGATCTAAAAGTATACATATTGTGCTTTAAAAACAATTTTAACACAACCGAAAGGCTTGTTGTTAATTAAGGAAATTAAAGGTTTGCATGTTGCCGTGTGAATCGTATTATCGCCACGTTTACTCAGCATGATTAAAATTACACTCATTAATTTCTGCTTATTTCCCAGGTGTTTCGTGTTCAGCGTTATTTCACATACAAATTTATTTTATACTTTTGAAAATATAATATTATTCCTGCCTATATGCGGTTAATAAACTTATTAAATTTATGAATTGCATGATAGTGTAAAAAATACAAGACCATGTGCATGATGCATATTTAATATCGATCAATTTGTTACAGCATCGATTGGTGCAAGTGGAACGCGCATCGACCGTAAATAAATTATCGTGCAACGCACATGCCGCCGTTTCGCGGCTGTTGACGCCGCCGCCAGGGACCGAACCGCCGCCCAAAGGCTGCACGAATATGTACGAAGCGGTGCCGAGCGGCGGCGCGCCGACCATCATAACACCAACACACCGCAATAAACTGCTGATGTACGACGCCGACGACGACGGCGAGAACGACCTGCCGGAGGACTACTACGTTGAATGCGAAACAGTTCCACACCAACAGCCCGACGATGGTCGGCAACGCGTACCTGGTGCGTCTGCCTCACCGTCGCACACCACCTACGCCACGAACAGTGGCAGACCGCGAATCGCCTCGACCTTAGTTCACATCGCCGAACGCGATCGAGCGCACCGCACCGCGCGGCACTCCGTTAACAATAATAATGCACTCGCGAACGAACGCCGGCCGTTAACGATCGCGGACGCCGACAATAATTACATTAGCGAGCGGATAATTGAATCGATGGTCAATGAGCGCGCTGCGCACGCGAAGGATAACGTCATGCCGCCGGTGATGGAGGACAGTAGGGATTGCAGGGATGATTTGAACGAGAGAAAAGACAGCAACGGACCGGAAGCGCACATTAATGGCCGCACTCATCCGGAGGAGTGGAAACAACGTAATGGGATAACACAGCGGAACGGCGAATGCAGGAGGTCGGAGCGTGAGGAAAATTGTTGTGTGGGCATGGGTGAGCGCATAGACGTGGACCAAATCAAACTGGAGCACTACAGACTAAAGACACAGAATGTCGGCGTGCAGACGACACATTTATCACCGTATCGGCTGCGATTTTGGCCGGTGGCGGCATCGATTAAGTGCCTGGATGCCTCGTTTATGGACGTCGTCAAATGCTGTTTGCGCACTTTGAGCCAGTGGTTCCTCTCACAAGTTGGTTTGACTTGTGTGCTTATTGTTTGGGCCCTTTTGGGAGCGACGGCTTTCTATAAAACAGAAGGTACGTACAAAAAAAACTCATAAAACTAAAAATTTAAATTAAGTTGTAATCACGTTTGAAATTTAAATATTCATTTGTTAAGTACTAATATGCAAAATAATTACATTTGCGTCATTTGTGCTAACATTGAGAATTCATATTTTTAGCAATTCGCTTTTAATGATACTCGTGTTAGCACATGTCATGGTTTGTAATGAAACATAAATAAACGAATGCATCATGTGAGCTGAACGATCCTATTTATCTATTCAGAAGGCGCGTATAATAAGCGTTATTTCGCTTGTACTGCAAAATCTACTTTGCGTTATATAATGATTGGAAATTAAGCGAGCTCGTCAGTTGTTTAACGGAGATATATCGGATTTACGTATCCGCTTTGACTCATCCGCATCAATGGATATAACTGTGTACAAACATTTCGCACGTGAACATATCAACTTAGCAATGACGTTGACTCTTTACATTATTAAAAATAAATAATAAAACCAAACAAAGAAAATATAATAATATTATAAATATTATTGAAAGTTTAAAAGAAAACTGAATGTCACAGATGAATTAAATGCGTGCAAACTACAAAGTAGGTTACTTTATTGGAGTGTAAAAAAAGAAAGAAGGCGAAACATTTAATGAACAAGTAATAAAATTGTAGGTCTGTGCAATGCTAAACGACTAGACCATTGTTTATTTACGTTTTTAATAATTACACCGTTTAATTTATGACTATATTTGCCTTTGTAGAGATGGTGCGCTCCGTAAACAGTGCAAGGTGTTTTTCTATGATAATCATAAACGGTGCGCACGGAAAAAGTTTACCATAGTCAAATAATCAACCGAGAGATGCTTTATTCATACACGGTAGGCTTATGTTTCGGGGCAACTGTGTTACACATGACAAAACAAGTATTTACGGTCTGACCGTTTAGCATAATCGATTACTTTTAGAGTGAATTTAAGTGCGCGTTACCTTAACTTGAAACACATAATTGTGTGATGTTATTTTGATTTTGGCTTTTACTGTTTTGGGAGTTAAGTGAACGGTAATTGCCGGGTTTTTAACGTTGTGAATGTTTGGTAATTTTTTATGGCACTTATTTGTTAAATGTGGAGGCGCTTCCTTTTATACATTTTTACAAAATTTACATAAGTAGATTTAAATAAATAAAATTTAAATGCGTTTATTATTGATTTTTCGTAATTGATTTTTATCATATACCTAGTTTATACGGTAATAAATCACAATTCGATAACGATTTGATTATTTATTGTTAAGTAAAATATAGGTCAACCTGAACTATCCAACAAGTAACTTTTGTTTCACGAAATAAGCTTTTTATACGACAGCTGACACATGTTCTCTGAAAAATAATAATCATGAATACTACATGCTCGTATCGACTAGTCCTTTTAACTTATGTACACAGAAAATATAGAATAAGAAAAATTGCGTGAGGGAAATATCCATGAGATTTACGTACAAAATCATATGATATGACAAGATTTTCAACGCTATTTTGTGCAACAAATACTTAATAAACAAAATAAGTAAATTTTAAACGAAAATATCAAAAAGGACCTCCCCGGCGGGGAATCGAACCCCGGCCGCCCGCGTGACAGGCGGGAATACTGACCACTATACTACCGAGGACCTGTACAGGTAATCAATTTTATCGCAGTCGGCGCTGAGGTGTATCATTCAGGTAAAAATAGAATTAGAGTGCATGTATGTACTCCTTAAAATTACAATAAGCGTATGAGCGACGTCCTTACTATCCCAAACATTCGTCGTTTCTTATGTGTTTAATTGCACGGCTTTATTAATCGATTGAATTATAAAACCATACATTTATAAGCTCTAAACTATCGTTTTCAAACCAAATAATTACACATTTATTTAATTTTTTAAATAATTTGTAATATAATATTTATTTTATGATAAACGATCAAAGATAAGACTGTGCATGATAGTTAGTTTTAATGATGAAAAGTAAAAGTACGCAAACAATATGAGATGTTAAGAATTCAGAGTAAATCGATACACCAAACCAAATTTCACGCGCCACGATTATCTCGATTTATCGACATGTGCACGACATGTTCGTACACTTACTGATACCAAAAACAACTTCGCCGATGTAAATAAACAAACATATTTAATCCAAAAAAGTGCATTCTAGCGCCATCTCCGCACAAACTATATAATTTGTATATCGTATTTGTTAAGAATTTGTCATAACGACTTAAACCGTGACAATAGAAAATAGTTCGTTTGATTTTAAACAACTGGAAATATTGCAACAAAATGAAACACAATATGTTCAATAATTTTGTAAAGCAAGCTTGGTTATGGAGGAACTACCAATTGTTTCCTTATCACGCGCTACACGGTCCACTGCCCGATGACAATAATCACTACAGTTCGCTGAATTATTACAATCGAACATATAAATTAAAATGTTAATATGATTCACGAAATAACCAGACGATAACTGGACAACAACCCGAGTAAATAACTTCGATTTTTGTAGGTCCGAGGGAACGTGAGCAGGCCGAGCAAATAGACCATTATAAAGTCGATATTTCAATAGATTTAGCAACCGACTTGCGTCAGTTGAAAGAAGGCTCCGACAAGTGGCCGGAAACCATTCAGAAATATTTAAATAAACACGAAAGTTTACTGTTGCAAGCGGTAAGTTCTGGATATGTCGAAGGCGGCGGGTCCATCTGGACGTATCCTGGATGTGTTCTTTTTGCGGTACTACTACTTACAACACTTGGTAAGATTTGCAATTACTGGATACATTTTTTTATTTATTGTGGATAATAAATATTTTAATTCCAGGTTTCGGTGCACCTGTGCCAAGGACCTCGCTGGGCCGAGGCATGGCCGTCCTCTTCTCTGCTGTCGGCATTCCACTGCACTTTATGCTCATAATCAACGCGTCCAGTTTGATTGCCAAATGCTTGCGTAACTTGGCCACCATTAAGCCTGCCGGTGAAATGCCTGAAGCCAAGTCAAACCGCCGCCTATGGTACAAATGGTTTCCTCCTATAGTCGCAGTATTATACTACATCCTAGGTGTGATTGGTTTCGGTGTGCTGCGGCAGCGCAGCGTTGTCGAATGCCTTATGTTTGCACTAGATTTCACCGAATCTGGCGGTGTGGCCAATACTGCTGGTCATGTGCGCATTCTGTATGCATTATATATTGAAATTGCAGTGATACTTGCCGCAACGATTATGTCAATTGTTCAGGTGTCTGCCACGAATGGCATCATCGATTTGGGCTTGCGACTTGGCCTGCTGACAAATACGTAAAACATGTACATTTATTGTAAGTGCCTTTAGAGAAACTTAACGAATTTTAAATGAACAAATTGAAGCACAAATTATGCTTATAGCTACGATATCGATATTATTAGGGTACTGTTGATGTGAATTCGAAATCAAACTATTCCGAACGGGTAATGCGTGATGACTTTTTACATATCATAGTTATTTTCAGTTTCAATTAATATTAATTATATTTTAGAGACCTATCCGTCCATAAAGGCATATGTGTTTAGTTTACATTAAAGAAATTTATTTATTTTTGTTATTGTTATTATCTTCACTTGCTGGTTTGCTGGAGTTTTTATTTACAATGAATATCAACACTTTTTTACTCACCTGGGCTGTACAATACGTACAAATCAATGTTTGGCATGTTATAAGATTGCAGACGAGCAAAAACACCAATGTTATATACAAAATTTTAATTTCCTAAAGGAAATTACCAAATCAGAATATTTTTTGTGTTGGTGAGTAAAAAACATTATTTAACATTGACTGACAGTTTTTCATCAATTTTATCTTTGTTAGACGATGACTTTCATTAATTATGATTTACTCTAAATAGCTGTATTATGTCGCACAAAGACATGAGCATTATTAAAAACCTAATTAATATGAGATAACTATTGTAAAAATTCAATTATTTGTTATTTAAAAATGATGAATGCATGAATGTTCTTTGCGGGCACAACAACGGCGTGAAAAAGGCACAAGGGTTTAAAGTTCTAAAGATTGAATTGCATAATTAAAAACGGATAAAACACGGTACTTATCGCAAGAATATAATAAATGCAAATGTTAGCTGTGTATCAATATATTATATTTATTTTTCTTGTGTTTAATTTTGATTATTATCAGTATACTGCTGTCAAGTATTTTGTAATAGATAATTAAAAAGTAATGCTATGATTCAGAACGTTTTATTGATATTTCCAATTGACCTTTTCTAGTTAGTACAAAACATTTGTTTGTGGTATTGGTACTTAAACAAGTTTTTTTGTTGCATTGACGAAGAATTATAGCTGCAGTGAAGGATACGAACAAATATAATCCTATTCCAATACTGCAACCGCCATCTAGGGTCGCTGATTACTTACTATATGTCTTATTATCTCTTATAATAGTATCTCTTCTTCGATTATAGAGGTCTCTACCAGGACAAAAAACTGAATTTAATAGTAAAAATATTTCTTTTGAAAAAAAAAAGAAACATAATGTCTATCGTCAATTCACGCATCTACAGCATTTCAAAACCACAGAAATAATATCGAAACTTGTGGCAAATAATACAACAATTTAAATAAAATTGCTAATATAATTGTTACCCTACCTTAAATAATATACCGACATTAAAAATGTTTCCATTTCTTAATTTGAATTTTAGCAAACAACACACTTTGATTTGCGCGGTTATATTACAAACTCTTATTTTTGATGAATTTACATAAGTTAAAAATTTTGAGTACCCCTGGTGGGACTCGAACCCACAATCCCCGGCTTAGGAGGCCGATGCCTTATCCATTAGGCCACAGGGGCTCCACTAGTACGTCAAATAAATCAGTATAAGAACTCTGCCCTTATTAAACTTACAACAATACTATTAATAATGTAATTAAAATCAAGCAAATTATTGATCTTTTTGTTTTAATACAGCTCAACATATTGATTTTAACAGTACGTCCCACATATATCGATTTAATATGCATAATTTCTATGTATACTATCAATTAAGCAATTAAAGGAAATTAAAGTTTTCTGTTTAATAACAAGTGTAATTAATTCAACTAGTTTTGAAAACAGAACTAATGGAATGTAATCGAACAAAGTTTTTTTTATCAACTTAAAACTTAAATATGCACACCGACACCTTTATGTCAATAACAATTGGGCATCTCATTAATTACTGACAACGTGCATCTGTGTGTGCCTGTATAAGCAGATTTGATTCAATCCACGTAATATGATCTTTGTTTGTTTGTCCATTTTAAAAATTACTCTATGAATACCAGCTTCAATGACAAATGAAAATGAAAATTTTGTTTACCACATTGCTTCTTATTTATTCTTGCTTTTTACTGCCACCAATTCTTTTGTCAAGGGCGATTAAGTTCCACACGTGAATAAATAAGACTTGACAGGATGTCACATGTCCCTTGACGTGATTCATGAATAACGAAAGACCACGCCAAATAAGAAAAGTAAGAAAATCAAAAACTCATTGTGAGCAAAAAAAACTAAAACGCCTCAAGAATTCGGACAACGCACCGAATTTTGAACGATGAATCAAAAGGATTCAACTAAATGAATATGGAAATTTTGAGGCATCAGGGAAGGACAATACATGCTGAAGTCAAAGGCGTGTGTTTTTTAGATTGGATTAAAGCGCCTGTCGCTTCGCGCCGTGCTTCGCGCTTTAATCGCCGAGCGGTAACAATAACGTCAACTGTCGACTTTTGTATTGTCAGTAAACAAAGGTGGAATTCGTTAAGCGGATTATGGGAGCACTTTCGTCACTTTGGTCTCATCTAATCGTATAGAACACACTAGTATACCAATATAATTTGTTTATAAACGCATCTATTGTCAAACCATCAAAATGCTATATCAATCACCCAAATGTCAACTATAAATTACAACTAAAATCTATTAAAATACAGAAAATAAAAATTAAAAAGTTTCCTTCGAACCGGATTTGAACCAGTGACCTATGGATGCCTACTTGTATTCAAACTACAGTCCACCGCTCTACCAACTGAGCTATCGAAGGCTTCACACCAATGCAGCTTATTCATCCAAAACAATACAATATATTCTTTTTCTAGATTAACATGTATATTATTAATACTTATGTTATGTTAAAACGGTATTTAGATAAATACAGGTAATAAATCATCAATATTGATGTTGCGCTGTCAGCGCATGAAAAGTAGTTAATTTACGTGAATGCTGAACATGGCACCGCAATCGTCGTCGGCAGAATGCACAAACACAGGCATGCCACGCAACATTCGGCTGAGAATTTATTCCATCGCCGTAACCAAATGATGGTTAGGTGGTTATTATACCATAATCATTGTATCCGATGCCGCTCACTTCTCGCAGGTCGCGGGGGAGTCCGCGTCGTCGCTCCGAACGTTACAAATGTATCTGCTTGGTTTTATTTTCTCGTTTCATATCTTGTGGCTTACGATAAACCTATTTGTATCTCATTTATTTCAACGTAAAGTTCGCCGACACCTGACTCCTTAGGTCTGCGCCGCGGCACCGCGAACCGATACATCATTTTTACATTCCAAGCATGATATTTTTCATTTTATTCATTTTTATTCAGGCGTCCAAAGAGTTTATCACCGCCTCTCATCGCAATGCAAATGGGCACACCGGCGCGCAACGTCTCTTGTCTTTTTAATGCTCATTGAGAGTTGAGAAACGAGAAATACATAATTTTTAGATTCACACGCGATGCATTATGCATCTGTGTGTATGTATCGCATTATTATGGATATTTTTTTCTGTCAGCAGCATGTCAGCACTCGGCAAGACAAAAATGCATTTGAAGAATGACCTATCAACTTTGTGTGTGCACATACTAATGCATCGAATGTACTGAAACAAAAGCAGATACAAAAACGACGGCAGCATTGCTTGATTGATGTGCAACATTTAAAAAATTTAATGCATTCATAGCGATGCGAGGTAAATGGAAATAGAAATGTAAATGAACATGTAGAACACTAGAAACGTGCACGTAATAAATTACACTGAAACAAATGGTTTTCACATTATAATCATTTTAATTACTCTAACACCTAAATGTGTGCGTTCTGATTGGAACGTTGAGCATTCAAATAATAACTAGGTACGTACTTAGTTACAAGTATAAGAACACCAACATTATTTTTTTTGAGAAGTTCATTGTTTCGACACGCTCTCCATATTTTTTATTTGTTTTTTGCTTTTATGTGTAGCTATTGTTTGATATACATGTAGTGTAATTATTATTGTTACGGTTTTATTGTTATGTGTTCACAATTCATGTTGATTGCTCTCGCCATTTTGTATGTACCTACAGCGGTGGGCATATTGTGTTCGGAGTAATTTTCTTGCTCACATCAGTGTACTTAACAAATTCGAATAATTATAGCTTTTGTGTTGGGTTATAGTTTTGTAGTGTCTCATATTGCGTGTTGGTTTCATAAAACTTGCAAATTAAATCAAAATTGTTATAATTTATAGGGACAATTAAGACATTTTTGTAGACACTTATCACAGATGTGCAAAAATCGTATTTTAACGTACAAATACAAAAAAAATATTTAAGGGTTGAAAATTGCATTTTTTTTCTTATTTAATTGATAAATTTGTAAGGAAATCTAACAATAACTAACTTAATCTTAAAATTTTACACTTTTTATAAACCAAAAATAATTTTTTATCTAATGTATACATTTGCACAATAATATTTGGAAAGAATGACTTTTTAATCTTGCTCTAGCATCATTTTCCGCGCAATGCACTTAAAAGAAACTACATGTCCAACACAAAATGTAATTATCCTAAAATATTGCTCGCATAGACTTGTTCACCACTCGCAACGCGAAGTAGAATGTGTTTGCGATGACGGTGCGCGCTTGTTGGTTGATGGCGTTGCTGGCAACGCGAAGCATATAATTAAGTTGTCCAGCGCCGCCAGCCGAAGCGATGACAGCTCAAAAAACCGGAAGGGCTTCCATATTCTGAGCGAGCGCTTCCTACGTGTGCGTCGCGTTCCATTCCTCTCCGACACCGGCGACCAACGAGCGCGCCGAGCTCGCCTACCCGAAGAAATGGACAAAGACAAGCCGAGCAACCGCAAGCATTGAAACGCGCTCATTATGCGCGCCTACCTACCTTCATTGCAGGCGTCAAACCGCCGCAAAGAAAACGAAAAGAAGGAGGTGAAAAAACAAAGCACCAACTACGTTGTGGATATGCGTGTGCGTTCATCGATGGCTTGCGAAGGTAAGAAGTAGTAAGGTGGAAAAATAACGTGGGGATTTTATTCAAATGGAACGCAAATGAGTCGTTTACTTAATGTGTTGATGCACGGTGTCGACGTTTGCTTCAAAACCGGTGCCTCCGGTGTCGGTCATTGGCGGCCATCTTGAATCATGACTTTTGCATTTATAATAGAACAAGATATAATATAGGTACACTTCAGAACCACTTCATAGTAATATAATTTTTTCATTTTTTCAGAGACTCATAATTAGCAACGCGCCTACAACTCAAGAAGATTAACAATAATCATTGCAGCTTTTCTGTGAATTGAAAAGAGTGAAACCGAATGCACCACACATTTGTTTGATTGTGCGGTGGCACCGCTATATTATTACGCATCGTGTTTCGAAGGGATGAAATGAGAGGAATGCCAAATGTTAAACAAGTCACCAGTGAAGGAAAAACTGCACAGTTGCACACTAAAGTTAGTTTTATTCCCGGCATTAGCACGGGTTACAACAGGGGTTGCACACGGATTAACCCGACACTTCCCACAATGCATCCAGTTTGTTATTACCGCTTATTCCGATTCATATTAGTATTATCGGCAGTAAGCGTAGAACTGAAGGACGCTCGCAGATGAGGATTGAATGTACTCGAACGTGTGGTGCTGTAATAAGGTCACTTGCCGCTTCCAGTTTTAAAGCGTCTATTTGGTTAGCTATAAATGGGGTTGAATCAGATACTCCCAACATTTTTGGTGGGCGGATAATGATGTGAAGATGCAATTTGATCCACAAACGAAACGTGCCGGCAATGAATCGACAAAAGAATTTTAAGAATAGTTGAATGAAACAAAACTTTTAAAGTAAATTGGAGAATTGGTAAATTGGATTGAATAGATATCTGCTTTATAAAGAATTTATTTATGGCATTCAAGAATTATATTTTATTTATATGCGCGTAATATAATTATGTACCTATAAATGTTAAGATGTGGAATATTTTATTAACAACAAGTAAATAAATCATATACTTACAGTTATATTTATTAATGCAATAATTCAATAAATATGTTAATTAAATAATTAATAATGATTACTTATTACAATATTTTTATTATAGGCATATTTTTCAAAGAATAAAAATGACTTATGACGTTTTTAAATTACGCAAAAGTGTGATAATTGTAATAATAATGTTCTCATAAAAAATGTTGAATTTCCCAAGCTTACAAAAGTACTCGTCAGTTTGAATACACTCTAAGCCGATTTAAGTGCGTCTCGAGTAAACTGAACACGACAAATTGAACGTGAAGGCAAAATGTCCTTAAATGTTTCCCGTTGAGTGGACACTGAAGGACTTCCGAATGACCAAATCTTATAAATCCGCACGAGCAACATGTGAGCGTGTGAGCACAAAAAGTTTATTCGTGAGAATTATAATAGACTAGTAAATACCTACCTAAGTGTCTAATGTTAGCTTATTAGATATATTATTAATAATAAAATGACAGTTTTTTTTATTTTTTTATTTTTTTATTTTTATGTAATGGTATCGAGTGAATCAAACAAAATGCCGCTAAATAATTCAATTCCAAATCCACTCTTCTCACATTGAAGGTGAATGCCTACACCGATTAGTAGTAATGCCTACTTTTGCATTCACTCCTTTCACGCTTATTTTCGGGCGTGCACACAGCCTCTTCAAAGGATTGCGATTTGTAATAGCAAACGCGCGGCATCTTTGTAAAACGACACACACCGACGGAAGGAATCGTACCTTCCGTATGACGGAGTGTACTTTCTTAATTCTTATGATTGTGATTGAGCAATATGGTTCTAACCATACGAACTTGACGATATCCTCTTTTCTTGATAGAATTGAAAAGTTGATATCGAAGGACATATGATACGGTTATGCGGCTGTCGGCATGATGTTTGATGTACAATGCCGATGGGCGGAATTTATTTATACACAATATTTATAAGCTTTCGAATTATTTCATTGAATTGGGAATAAATGGAGCAGGTTTGCGCTAGGAACCTTAACGTCGGCGGTGTAGAAAAAGGGGTAGGTAATATTTATGCTCAAGAAGGTTCATGTTTATCAAACAGCGTGCCGACAATATTGTCGGGAGCACAATAGATTACAGAAGAAAATTTAAAAGACATTTTAATGATAAAATATTTAATTTATTGAAAATTTATATTTAATAGCTACCAGAAAGTAAGAATATAGGCAACCCAAGTAACTTTTACTTTAAGTATTTCTAATTTTCTAATAAAAACTGTTCAATATTTTTATTTTGCAATCCAAACAAAGAAAAACTCTTATACAAACGTGCGTGCCAGTGTCCCAAGCGGCGTTGTTAGGTCAAAAGAGCGCCGCACATAAGCGTCAATTATTTCCTAAAATATTTATCGCGTATCGTAGAAGGCGGCCAGGGCGGGGTGTGGTTGAGCCGTCGGATCATCGACGATGTACATATTAACGTATTGTTAGTGCGGTTCGAATACGTCTCTAATGTTATGAGTAAAGCACCCGCGTTGGATTGCGGACGAGCCGCAAGACATCTGCTGAATTTCCACGCTCACCACACGCTGTTGTCGAGGATGTTTCGTTGTTTTAGCCATACACGATGCATACGCGGCTTTGCCTGGTCAACCAAAACCACCACTTATTGACATTCTAATAGATTATTACCTATTGCTCCATGTGGCCTGGACTTGCTACGCATTCATCATAATCATTACACGTAAATTGATACTAAACTGTAAATTTTTCAAAGTACGAACCTGGAATGAAAAAAAGAAGCATACGTGTATTGTGGTCTTGATCGGGATGATCGGAAACACGATGGAAGCAGTCGTAACATATTTACTAAGCACGCGAATGTAAATATTGTAGAAAGCTATTAGGATATAAAATATTCATTGTTTTTAGTCTATCATCTTCAGTGTGAACCTGAACATTTGCTACGGTTTACAAACAATGCACATAAACTGTAAATGTGTCGATGGCAATATAATGCACACGTTCAGGTAATTGCGTAATTTACTTTGCCTGCTCCATTATTAAGGTTTGGTGTATTGGTTAGGATATCACATGTTAATGTTAGAAAACATTCTCAACGCAAACTTCGAGAGATTATGTTATGCACATTTTTTGGTAAATTGAATACGTAAACACTATTGTGTGATTTATATTGTCGGAATTTTCTTCTGCTAACGTTTAGTATGTGTGGATTTGTTCAGAAAGCAAACCGAATCTGCTTAAATACTTAACGTGTGGTTAAGCGTAGGTACTCAAAGCGAACGCAACATGCTAAGCATGTTAAAATTCATCGTATTCAAGTGATTCGATTTAAAGTTTGCTTGATTTATTCAAATCGGGATGGATCCGATGTATTTCTTGTCAAAAGTAAAGTAAAGATAGAGATTATCTCAAAGGTGAAAAGACGTTTAATTCGTAAACACCTTTGTGTAATTGACATGAAGATACTTCTGTAAAACTCTTAGGTAGTTACTTAAGCATTACTAATATTAACAGAAGAATTAAACATGGTTTTGTTGGCTTAAATAGAGAGAAATTACATTTTTAAAAATTTAATTATTAGAAATATTATTATCTACAACTTCAATCAATACCTACGTTTAATAATTAAAATACTATCAATTCATTCTACGCATCAACTATCAATCTGAAAAAGGCAATGTGAAAGTCAGATATTGCGATAACAAGACATCTCATTTTCTCAGTGCGATTGATCCAACTTTTATATTTATTTATTATCGCTACGCATGTCAGCGTAAAGCTTGAGTTCTTAATTAATGGCATATAATGATAATAATCGATAAATATTTGTAACGTGCAGCAAGAACTGCAGATAAATCGCAATTTACACATCGATGTCGTTTCGAAACGTAAAATATACCTAATCAATCAATCAATTGAGGTCACATATTTATTTATACTCATATTTACATATCTGTATTGTTTTTGAGTAATGTTGGTTTAATTATGAATTAAAAATAGAATAGATTGATTCGAAAAGTGCGTTTTTATTGATTTATATTAATTTGTTGAAGATAAAACATGGTTTATTGTACTGGCAAACACTAGGTGTATTGTCCTCCAGTTACCAATATATTTATATTATAAGGCCTTATCAATGCGTATCGAATCAACACACATTCCATTACATATTACGATCGTTTTACGCGTCTGAAAAGTGTGAGACAGTAGCGTTTCATAAACAAAATTCTACGACTAATGAGAGCAGTAACACCGCTGCGCATCATTATCAACGTTGTTATTGTTCATCGTCAATTTAACAGACGCAATAAATAAACAAACTACGTATTGTTTGCGTTCAGACGGTCATTGGACATTTAGTTCACACCAAACAGTAGTTGTTGTTCAAAGTGTTCAGTGCAAAAATAAATTTAACCAAAAGAAAATTTTCAAAAAGTTTTAAAAAAGATGTTTGATAAAAATTCTTGGCAATTGGAGGATATCACGTTTGTCTTAAACGAATATTCGGAATTATTACAATGGGGTTACAAAGACGAGACAGTTCTTCATTTTGGTTGCGGATCTGGTTTCATTACTGGTAAATTTTTGCTGCCGCATTTGCCATCGAAAGTTCAAGTCGTCGGAGTTGAAGAAGATGATAATCTGGTGCAGTTTGCTAAAAAGTATCACGAACACGATAAAGTGGAGTATCGCAAGTTGAAAGAAATACAAGATTGTGTTTTTGATCATATTTTATCGTTTTATTATTTTGATGAAAGTCTTGATGAATTGTAAGTAAATTAAAACTATAAATATTAATTGTATTGAATATTAATTATTATTAATTTTTATATTAATTATTATATATTAGGTATTAATTATTAATTGTATTAAAATTTAATATTTTAGGAAATTATTCAGCAAACTGAATGACCACTTAACTAAAAATGGTGATTTGTTGATGATTTTATTAAACGAGCATTCAGTATTGTCCATTTTGAATACATTGGAACAAAATGAGAAATATAGTGGAAAGTTTGGTAAAGCTAAAATTAAATCAATGAATATTTCGCAAAACACATTAGTAGAGGCCTTGGCTGATGCGAATTTTACTGACATAATATGCAAATGCTATGAACGTTATCACATATTCCCTAGTAAAGGTGTACTCAAAAGTAAGTACCTGCATACTTGTAAATTGAATCAAGGTTGAGTGGCATGTATTTTCGATTCTACTTGACACAATTGTTTTAGCTTTCCTAAAAAGTAATCTCTTGGATATAAAAATTAAGGAAAGTGAATTTGATAACCTTATCACTGATTTTATGACGTCCATGGATGATCGCATTGATGTAAGGCGAATAGGACGCAATGGAAGTGGTATCGCTCTGCCTTATACACTAACCTTCTTGTATGGCAGGAAGATGAAGTTGATATAAACAATTAACAAATTTAACAACAAATAAAAAAAAAGTCCTCCCCGGCGGGGAATCGAACCCCGGTCTCCCGCGTGACAGGCGGGGATACTGACCACTATACTACCGAGGACTTATTTCTTATGTGTAATTTCATGGCCTTTCCCCCCACTTTATCACAAACAGTAGTTGCTATTATTAGAAATTATATCAGTCTATGCTATTACACAAAAATATTGCTTTATCAAATTGAATTTGTGGCTATATATAACATTATAATGAAACATTGATAATAATCGATTAATATTATAATATTTTAATTTTATTAAAAAATTATTTAATAAATGACAACGTTAACTTTCCTGGAGACCAATAGTATTGATCCAAAGATCAACGAGGTCCTGTGGCGCAACGGATAACGCGTCTGACTACGGATCAGAAGATTCCAGGTTCGAATCCTGGCAGGATCGCTTCTTTTGCTTTTATTCCCATTGATAAATTTTTACAGAACCATGATCAATGCAGGCAACAAGAAAAGAACAAATTAAATCGCTTTGATTTACAGCCAGTGCATTTTCACACTTTGACCGCGCGCTCGTTTAACATTTGAACTGTCGGCCGACTCAACCATCTCCGATTAGTAGTAGTAGCACCATCTGAGCAACACCGATAACTCGCCGTCTTCCCATCGGGTGGTAGACGAAAACCCGCAGGCGGGTGCGATATGTTAACACCGCGTTCTGTTGGTATTAATAACGTCGAATCACGAAACTCGCGGTCGGCGCGCGCGGTCTTCGCACAAAAACCGTATGAGACCCATTTCGTTTAAACTTAAGCATTCACAATCATAATAAAGTAGAGCCGGGGTAGAAGCGGACAGCCGAAAAGGTAAGAAACATGATCGTCTGTCGCGGTCATGTGTACAATCGCGGCATTCCAGAACAGATGTTTCGGACATCGGTTTTTATGTAAAACGAAACAATAAAACCGATAAAAAGAGAACGGCAGCACGCATACACCGTGCCGCTATCGAGAAAACACCATCGCATGTGTAGATTCGAACAAATAACGAAAAATTTAACACGCCGATCGAATGCACCTGATTTTCAACACCTACAACAACCGACACCCGTAATGCGTGCCGATATTTTATTGCCTTTAATATCGTAAACAACAAAATCGTTTCGATTCAACTCGTAGGTACTACTTACTTACATATCGCATGAAATATAATCTTGTGCATGTGGTGAACTCGGTAAAAAGTTAATCAACTTGCTGATATTTATTATACCTTTGCGAATTGGCCAGCAACAACTAACACAGAACAAAGATGAAGAATTTACACTAATAAAAATCCGCCAACCAGCATTCTAGCGACATCTATGAATTTTTTATTACAATCAAACATAAAAACTTTAATTTACGGTTATTTTCAAGAAAAAAAAATGAGGTTTATGTTTTGCTGGTTTATTTTTGCTTAATTTGTAATTTTTAAAATAATTTTGCACTGCTTTTCTTCCTCTTCGCTCCTTCTTCCGCCAGCCATGCTGCCACGCTCTACCAACTCCACGTCTGAAATCTTTCCGCTCACGTTCTTGGCGAGTTAGCAACAAAATAGTTGAAATAGTGTATTATACCTTTCACGTGTCGGCCGACATTAAATGCACGCCAATAGAGCATAATAGCCATGCGGTGTGCGCACAATGCGCGACACGAACGAATTGAATGCAAACGCGAGCGCGCGCGTCTCGATGATCAATCGACGGGCATCGCAGCCGGTATCAGAACTAATAGATCTTGATAAGGCCGAGAGCGCAACAAGAATGGGCGATCCGGCTATTAAGCGCGAATCGAAATCTCATCAAATCCGACCTTTATGCGCACTATTTTCGTTACACAATATGCAATAATAGGACAAACAAGTCAAATAGGTTGCCAACAATGCGGACAATGTGGCTTAAAAAGATTTTCGAGATTGTCGAAGATCGATGCAACAAAGCGCTAAGATAACAAGTGATTTTCGAGGGTTGAGAACTCAACTGTCTTGTGAGTGATGTGCTTTTTAGCGGTTCATCATTCAAAGCAACGAGTTAAGTAAGTAAAAACCGATATCAAATTTTAAAAAAATAATACATAAATCTTGTTAGATTCTAATATGAATAAAAACAATCACCCTTAGCAATAAAAAATGAAATATTATATTGATACCCGCTTAAAATATATAAATTAATAATTTTTTGATGTAGGTACGTTTAACATGCAATTGCACAAATATGCCATGCGGAAAATAGATATTCTAGATAATAAGTAAATAATACGAATAACTTCTCACGAAAAACATCTGTCCGCGCACATTTCCAGTTCGATTCCATCGTCGAAGCGAAACTTGAAGTCTGCACCGCGTACCTGCTCCAACTTCCACTCGCACGCTGCTCTGGATATAAATAAATAAGTTTATTATAACAGGAATCGCGTGTAATATTCGTGTTGTTATTAAATATTATATGCACCGGAGCCGATGTTGGGCATAAATTATAATAAATTAGTGAGCACGTTCATCGAAGAACTCGTCGAATTCGCTTGTGGCCGGACTTGACAGATAGATGTGGAGCGTTTCCCTTCGACAACACCGACGAATGTGTGTACATTTATTAAGCTAGCACATAGAATAAATAAGAGCACGTATGTGGCAATTTTTGCTAATTTAGTTAAATAGGTATGTCTGCACTCGTTCAACAACACATCGAGAAATAAATGTTGACGCGATTTCACAGCGGCAAACAAGCTAAATAACACAAGTAAATGTTAAAATTATGTTAAACATTGCCATTTAGATGTGTTTTTGCAAGATGATTAAACTTAATTTTAATAATTTTAATATAAAGCGTGTTGTTCATTTGCTCGATATCTAAAAATTTTGATTTGTGTTAAAGTTTCGAAACCGTAAACATTTTATCATTTTGTCGCGATGTAAGACTTCGCATTTGTTAAACCGTCGGCGGTGCTTTTTAGAAGCTTAATTTTTAATGCGCGAACTAATCCCAAGAAGTCAAACGCGAAGACCTGCAATTTATAATCCACTCCATGGTAAACTCACATTTTCTTTAAGGTTCTGCTTTAAAACATGTAAAAAACTTAACCTTAGTTAACTGAAATGCATGCGGAAACAATCCTAACCTATAAACACACACATAACCTTAAAAATGTATTTTTATTCTTTTTTATATTAAATATGTTCAAATGTACCTATTAATATTTTATGACTATACCTACTTTCTAGTTATTCAAAGAAAATGTTCTATAATTTTCCGCTGTCGTGATTAATAAATATTTAAATAAACCTAGCACTAAAATTTATAATCCCAAACACATAAAATTAAACCCTTACATTCCTTTTGATCGAATCCCTAGCATATAACCACATCATCAATTTTTTTTGCTTTTAATTTTGAGTTTTACTGGTTCACAAGAACCAGTTGATGTGTGTGGAATGGAGATAATAAATGAATTTCCTAAATGAAACCGAACACGACCCAAGAATACGCAAGTAAGCCGACGATCATTAATCTCTATTTGTGTTCGGAAATCACAACATTCACAACATGTACTTCACCTCGTCACCCGTTCGTTCGTGCAGCGCACGAAACAAGGAAGAACATAAAAAACACAACACAAGATGTTCAACGCTCAACCAATGACATATTACATACTTTTTTATTCTTTCAACACCGCGAAATATTTTTCCTCCGGCGTGGTCCCACGAGAAAAGATTCCATCATAGATTATTCGCGAAGAATTAATTTGTGTGTTGTTTTCACTCGGAAGGGTTTCATTTGACAGTGTTTACAGTGGTCACAGTTATGCATCATTGGTGGTTCCACCAGCACCACAGCGAGTGTTAATTAGGTGTTGTTTTATTCACAGCAGGAGGTCGTGGTTTCCGGCGGTTGTCTGCTGGCAGCCTGCGGAAAACAATCAGCCAACTAATCATTTAGTGTGATGTTGTTGCTCAGCGTGTGGTTTCGCCTGCGGCGCGTGACCCTTCTTCGTGCGGCTTCTCTTAATAAAACAAATGAAATCATTTTCTGCTCTGCCAGTGTAAACAATCAATTAAATATCGCTTCTAACCTTAAAATAAACGCACACATAACCTATTTGCTGTATGCATGCGCTATCTACGATCGCGTTTGTTAAATGCAGCTTGAGAGATCTTGGGAATCATGAGTCGATGACTTAAATATATAAATATGCACGTGAACCGCTTGTCGTGCGCATCGAAATAATTTTTAATGCGTTCGGACAGCGGGCCGGCATCGTATTAAAGGGAATTAGTGGATTCCGAATGTCAGGCGACATCGGTTCGATAAATATTACGTGTGTGCACTGCGCCGTACTTCTCGTGCGAGCCCTTTTTGTCGGCGCTTTTCGTGCCGATGCCTTTTCTCATAATACGCATTATTAACGAAAACATATTCATAACCAACCAGACTGGCATCTTAATAAAAATTTGAAATTTCTCTCCATTTCACATCACAATCTACAAAAAATAAAAAAATAAAAAATACATCGACCGAATATAATCAAGCTCCAGCACTAATTAAATGTTTAATAAGTATCCAAAACAGAAAGTTTAACGAATTAATTTATTTTGAAACGTGTGATATTTTGATAATTGCGTTTGATCGTCATCGAAGACTGATTAATTATACCCGCAGTATAATTAACAGTTTCAACCGTAAATAACGCCGGACATCAAAATCGATTCATTTCATTATTCGTAGGTAGATAGGATTATTACACGACATCGGAATACATTAGCGGCTTCTTCACGTTCTGTCGACGACTCCTGCAGAGCGGCGGCATTCGCGAGATTTGTTGTCGTGTTGTTGTGCTGTATTTTGTGGTATCTTGTCGTCGCTAGCATTATGAACTGGCGATAGGCCTGATATATTATAAACTACAAGCGCGCTTATTAAAGCACGTTATGCCGCTGCGGTGCCACCAGATGAAGCCATCTTCGGTTGGTTGGTACTTGGATAAAAGTCGTTCGATAAATTACAATTATCTACTTTATACGCGCGCGCCGTCCGACGGTGGACAGCCGACGCGCTAAACAACGACTTTATTAGCACATTCACGGTTAACGTTCACATTCAACATCAGCGGCTTGCTCAAGAAACGAAAAACGTTAGCTGGTTAGTTTCTTCCAATGAAGAAGAAAAAAAAAGAGAAGTGAAACATGCATATAAATATGAATTCGTGTTTCTTTAGATGAAGGCGCGACCGCCCGTCGTAGATTACAAAAAAAATATAAATTGACTCAACACTTTTGAGTGCAACAATTTTTACTTAACTTCAGTTAAGTTGAAATGAGTTGTTTGTGAGAAATAAGAAATAATCTCAAACAATTTGCCATTACTAAATATTAAGATGTCTTCATCTTATGAAGTTGCTGATGAAGATGAAAATGATGGTATGTAGATTTAGACGTCGCGTTTCGTTCAGGTTGGCCCGGTGCGAGCTTGTAGCGATTCGGCGCACCGTCGGCGCCTTTTGGTCTGTCACTCATTGTTAGTGGATTGATCTGAATGATCACGGAATGGATAACCACCGACATCGGCATCGTGTGTAGAAGCTTTTCGCTCCACTCGCGGGACGCATCGTCATCCTCCAACATCATCAGCATCAGCATCAACATCACCAACATCAACATCAACATTAAAGTCAGCGCACGATCGTGTGCGTCTTTTACATTTTACAACATCGCCGGAGTATTTTATGTGGTGCGTTGTGCGTTTTACGAGAGTACAATATCTGTCCATCGCGGATCCATCCTATCGTAACGTATCGTTTCGGATCGAATAAAAACGGCGGCCGGGCAAAGGATGCGCGCACCCGCGAGTGTGCTTGTTTTTTTTTTCCTTGTGCCACGGCCCGATGAGGACGCCGACGGACGCTGAAGGAAAAGAGCGAAGGAGCTTTTAATGCCATTTGCATAAATTAATAAACATAATCGAATGAGTTGTGGTTTCGTATTAATATTACCCAAGAGGGAAAAATGGAAACTCAATTAAAAAACTATTTTTTGTTAAAAAAACAATTTTGATTGGAAAATTTAACAAATTTAGAAAAAGTAAAAACAATTCAATAATTGGATACCGAAATAATTCGCTTTCATTTTGTCTGTTATAATTTTTAAACAAGACGAATTCCTTAGGTACTAAATGTTGAGTGATTGACGTTGTTTTTAAATTTGCTAAATATTTAGATGTCATTAACAAGGGCTCGGGAAGCCATACACGTGTGCGCATATCATGCAAATAGGTAATAGGTATCTAAGTATCTACATTTTTGTGCAAGCAAAAATAATTTTATAAGCAATGGTTTACCATACATTGAACAAATTTGATTCAAACGTTAGATTATGTCTGGCTTAAGATCTGACCGATAAAAATTTCAAATAAAGCGGATAAACAGACAGCAATCATGTGAAATGCCCGCGAAGAGTCTGGAATAGGTTGGATTCATTAGCGCGTACCAGTTCTACCAATTAACAAGAGTAACATTTACATTTACATATCTATCACATAACTACCAATCACACAATGATCTACCATTTAATCTTGCAATCTATTGTTACTCTTGAAATCTATAGGTAGATATCAGAAATTGAACATTATAATACACAATTGTTGTTGACGAGGATAAAATTTATTTCCATCATATATATGTACACATATTTTGTTGCGCAATAAATACTAAAAGTAATTAAAACTAAAAACAATTTCGTATGTAGATAGGTATATAGTAACACTATCTATACACAAACGCACACATTCATCATTTTACAGTTTTAGCATAAGTTTTTTGTACAGAATATTTACATTGTTTACAAATACCACTAATTATAGCATTTTACACACACACAACGACCAATAGATTTTTTTTAATTGTTCACAAAGGTGCGGTCTAGTATGATTTTACATTTTGTATTCAGTGCGTTTCTATTCGGTTAATTTTTGACATGTTTCTTCAACAATAATCGCATAAATCAAGCTGCACAATGTAAGAAAAGAGCAAAATATGCATTTCCAACGTTAATTTTAATTTCAGCACAATTCGTTAATTAAGAAAAAGCATAACGTTTGTTTTGTGTGCAGGTTAAACCGGAAACTATTTCCTTAATATGCTGCTGGTCTTTGCTAATGCTCAGGTAAAACTAAACTAATTGGCGTCATGTAATGTAAATAATTTCTCACTATGATGTATGATGTAGGTATCCTTTCTTAAACGGTGAAAAAAGGCAAATAATTGGATTCCAATTATAGTTATGAAAAAAAGAACGAAAGTAGCGACGAGGTCAGCGTGAAATGTGAAGTGCTGACCAATTAATAAAATAACTGCTACCCGAGCGCTCGTAAATTGCGTCCCTCCAATTAATTTATACCCTTATCGATGGCGTATACGTGATGATTAACGGACTACCGTTGTGACGGCGACTGTTTCGTTATAGTGTTGATTGCACTGTTTTTACACTTTTGCTTTTCTTGCAGATGCAATTTCACGTTTTAGTCTCTAACTCTGTCTACTAATCACAGTCACTGGTTTGAGTAGTCCTTGCGCCTGCTGCGAGGCACCTTCCGGCGTCCGCCGCGGCTCCGGACTGTTGGAGCAGGATCCCTGCGAGAGCTGCAGCGGGAGAGGATGATGCAGCGGATGGCCAGGCAGTCGCAGACCGGGATACAGTTCAAATGGGGCGGCGGGCGCTGGTTGGCGCATGAATGCTGCAGCCGCCGCCTCCGCTTGATGCGGTGCGATGAGACGCTCCAAACCAAAACCGGCGCCCGGCGGAAGAGGCGTGGGCTTCGGCAGCATCGAAGGCAGATACGGGTTGTATCTCTGATACATTGTAGCCGCAAGTAGTGCGGGATTAGGATACAACCCCATTAGTGCCGGGTTGTATCCAGGAAAGGGGCCGGGATAGGCTCCGAGAACCATGGATCGTTTAAACGCGGCGAGTCGTGAACGAGACGCTGCTGTTGACCGACGGCGGAGTTTTCCTGTCGTGCCACCGATGAACACATCCTCGGCACTTGGGTCCAACATCCAATAGTTACCCTTACCAGGGTCATCATAATGACGTGGTACTTTGACAAAACATTTGTTTAGGCTTAGATTGTGTCTGATTGAATTCTGCCAGCCTTGTTTGTTCTCCCTGTAGTATGGAAAGTTCCTCATGATGTATTCATAGATCCCGTTGAGTGTCAAACGTTTCTCTGGACTATTTCTAATCGCCATCATGATCAACGCATTGTAACTATATGGAGGTTTATCATTGGTCTTTTTAGGATCCGTAGATTCTTTTCCATCTTCACCTTCTTTCTCTTCAGTTGAGTTTTTTGAACAGTCTAAAGGCGGAGGTGTCCCGGTCACGTCCAAATCCGAATCGGAGTCTGATTCGGGTTCACTCAGATGAGTCGCCTCATCAGTAGGACTCGCGGGTGCATCGTCCAATAATGTTTCCGGCAGCAGGCTGTTAATACTAAACGACTTGATCGGAGTATGCGTCATCACTGTTCCTTGTACCATTCTTGCATTACTATCACACATTTATTTTGAACTTTATCAACTAATGATATCTAGGGTCCTATCACTCGCGGAGCTCACCCCTCAATGAGGAACGCGACGTGATTGATTTTGATTGCTACAACGCGGCGCATTCAATATGTGTACTCAATAGCGACTAAACCGTACGGAATTTCCGTCGACGGTTATATAAACTCGCCTCGAACGTAGATGGGATGGGTCTTTTGGACTCGGTGCACCAATGGGGTTCAGCCAATGGCACGCACGGTCCTAGCCCCACGTCGGAGCAGAGTCGGTGTTTATTTTCGCTTGTTTGCGCCTTGTTTGTACTCAATATTTACGGCCGATTTATGCTGGAGAAGGCGCGGTCTAAACCGTAAAAAAGGCGGTACTTGTCCCACCGATCGACGGCAAGGTGGGGCATATCCAACATAGCACACATATGTCAACATCACATACGCAATTACACTCCTTGCAAGTAAACGAATAATGAAATAAAAAATTTGTTTCGTGTAGCAACCAGACACGCATTGCGCATTTACAGTCTTAACAGCAAAAACAACGAACACGTAATGATCAAAACAAAACAATTGAATAAAGGTGAAACATGATGGCGGGTAGGAACAATAAGAAATTGAGTTGTAATTTTTACCGGAGGTGCTTTTCATGTTACAACAATAAGTTTTAACATTGGTAGCACCAGTGCTTAGTATTTTTTGAAGCAATTCGTTACACCGATTACGAGCGTCGGTCTGAAACGGATTGGAAAGAATTTGGTAAAATGCTAAACTTTGAAAGGAAATAATTCTTGACCATTTGACGTTTTGACAACGTAATTCTGACTTGCTTGCTGAATGTTTTTGATTGTTTGATGATATTGTAACACATGTAGCGACACAGGGCAAAAATTTGTAATATACATGCATGCACAGCGTCAACATCCCCCTATTTTGCCACTTTCACACATACAACAACCACAAATACGCCATAAATCATATTTAAGGTCTATTGTTGTACGATCCTGATTTCTCGATGCGTGCCCCGTCCACACATGATGAATATGTCGGTCGTTCCGGTGCCGCCCGTGCACACATCGCACACACGCTTACACATACACAATAAAATGCGATGTCGTCTCCGTCGAGACTAACAAAACGGACGCAACCGAAACGGCGCGGTTTGATGACTTCATTGAGCCGGATCAACCGAGCAGAAGATATGCGGTTTACCTTTTATTTCGTGCACATGCACATGCGCTTGCAGTTCCTAATAGCCTATCGCTTCAATGCGATCAACGTGAAGTGTGCGCTTTTCTACGATTTTCAAGAATAACAAGGTAACCAAGCGCGTTGGAAGCTTTTGAAACAGCTGCCCTGAAATATATTACGATATCATCTAAATTCTAAAATACCAAAAAATGGGCACTTGAGGAAAAAACGGAACACTAACTAGACCTCTATACCTCTGTAAATCTAAAAAAATGTTAATCCATTGCTTTTCATTAGGTCCTCAGTGATCTTGCCACGTGGAAACGTTTCAATGTTAAAATCACGAACGTTTTTTTTTAAGTTATCATCAGTTTTTTTCCAATGCCACTAAATTTTGAAAGGGATGGAGAACGTTGAGATGATTTTGTAGTGTTGCCGCGCTATTGTGGCATGGCACGAGCTGTATTGTTTTATTCACGACACTCGTTGAAGACAAAAGTGTTGCAGGAAGTTCTTTTTTCACGCCGCTGCATGTGGAGGCATCCCAGCGAGATGAAAAGACAAACGATCGCGATTTTTTTGTGTTTGTGTTGAGCGACAGGAAGACGCCTCGTCACCACATCCCATTCGAGTGGGCACTAGATTAGCAAACAAAAGAACGCCACAAGGGAAGCACCTCTGTGCAATAGATATTGCTAAGACTAGTATTCAATATATTCTTTTATTAAATTTACACCTTGTATCAAAGTGGAGTGGAGTAGACTAATCCAATAAAAATCACTACTTATTTAAAGAACTAATTCTTCAATTTTGGGACTTTGATGGGTTCTACTTGATCAAGTTGTGAATGATTTTGATAAAATCATGATGGAGAAGAGTTTTGCTATGAAAGGGTTAAGTCTCCTAGGACCTCTCCATCAAAGGTCTATGTAGACCTACACAAATTTTGCATTTAACACTAAGGAAAAGAAGGGACAAGAATGGAATCCTAGAAATGTGTGGAAGAAATATCTATATTAAAAGTAGAGCTGTGTATGTCTAGTTGAGATGATGCATTACCATTGGGAGATGTTTCAGAAACTTTTAATTTCGTATCCACTCCATCAATGACTAGTGCTGCCATCAGAAACATGTTTCTCTAACATCACAAAAACATGTCAACGCTATTTATACAGATATTTTGGATATCTCACTTTGACACTTTTTCACTATGATCAAAAATCGATCGTTTTGCCACAATGTGTAATCATTCAACACGCTTGATTGCAGTAACAATATAGAAAATTGCATTGAATGATCAAAAGGAACAAAAATGCAAAAAATTGTGTTGGCTCGATTTACCCCGCACAATATGAAAATATTGGTGGTGTATGTTGGCCAACTAGCTGAACACTGTTCAGCACACACACCAGTACCCCCCATGTTCGTTAGTTCCCGTTAGTGGTTCCTTGTTTCCTTGTTCCATGCCCGTGCGTTTGGCATACATAAAGCCAAAGCTAACAAAACGAGTGTTATTTATACAAGCCGCAAAAGCGCATCGATATTATTACAAATCGTTTGCAACAACAATGGTACCCAATCGTACAAACAAAAGTATGCCAGGTTTGGGTACCTTAGATGATTTGAAAAACGAATTGGACGATTGTGATTGTTTGCGAGCGTCACCCCAGTCGTGGACCAGCTGCCAATCTGGCTATTTATTAAACATGCGTGTTAATCCGCACTCGGGCCCCTATAAACATGCTGGATTATTAGGATTGCGGCCCTTAAGTTTGGGGTGAGATTAGAGGTAATAATAAGAGGGAACCGTTTGGTTTGGTTTGGATGCAGGAACACGAACTCACTGCGCGTTGCCTATGGTGACACAGTGACACAATCACAAGTTGAGTACGAGTGTGATTTCGATTTTTGACACAATAGCAAAGCGCAAATGAAGATATAAGAAGAGGCACGTTGCATGTCACATGGTCACATATTCGAGGGTGCACAAAGCGATAAATATTTTCTGCAATTATTACCCTTACCCTAACGTTTTTGATTTCTCAATTTTAAATTCAAAAATATCATTGCTATTGAGTTGCAAATTTTTCAAGATAATCTAGTATTATTCGTTCGTAGAAATGAATTTGTTTATCCCAAGTTAGAGATCCACAAACACGAGGATATTTATCCTTGGGGATTTGCCAAGCCGCGAGACGGGAGGTCCTGTTGTCCGACAACAACACGGACAATTCGATTCACGTTGAGCGGGGCGTGCGCGCCCACCAAATGTGGGTACAACGTTAAACCCATTATTGAATCGTACAAAGCGTCGGCATGGATTTACCGCGTGGATTATCCGTGCCGAGTATGTCCATTCAAAATAATCACAATATTCCAAAACGCAATTGCAAGTAGACATAGAAATACGCAACCCTTTGACTAAAAACCCCTTCAACTTTTCAGATGGCTGCAAAACGAGAAAATCAAATCCGTCAGTTAATCGTAAGCAGATCGAAACGTGTAAGCGCATTTTTGTATTTTACTACTGAGTTTTACTGAGAAGTTAAGATGTTTTAAAAATTTGTAATCTACGCGTCGGACACGGGTAATTCAATTTACCGAGAAGCGCGCGTTGCAAAGTTTAACAGAATTACATGGAACGGACGATTACGATTACCTTCCTCGGTGATAATGTTTGTGCAATAGAAATGTTTACACTGTGGTCTACCGGCCCCTTTGGGAGGAAGACAAATCAAAGAACCAAGCGATCATTAATCACACGATTTGCTTTTTCTAGTAAAGTCATCACGTTCGCCAAAAAATGTTTGTTGTGCGCCGTCGAAAAATACACCATGGGCGTGGAAGACTCCACGACCGGCTAACACGTCGAGATTCGTCGGGCCGAGTTCAAAGGACGAGCGGCACCTCTGTAAGGCCGAAGCATCTAATGTGTCTAATGTGGTGGATCACACACAGAAATACAAATGACTAGTCAGCCGGATGACTCGACCGGAGTGAAACCGCACGTCGGGGAATATCGAATAATAAGGCATTCGCCGTTAACGAACGAAGAACTCGCGATTATGATGTCTAGATTTTCATTGCCGGCATACTTAAGAATACTCGTAGGTAAGCCTAGATCCCCAAAGGAGTTGTTTGCTAATGATGCGACGCCAAATTGGAAATTTACGATGTGTGTCGTGATGTTTTGCTGGATGTCGGAATCAATGTAGTCATAGTGGTGTTGATATATGTGTGCATTTTCCAAAAATGAATCCAAGTTGAGTTTCCCGCTGTTGACGTGCGCAACAATAGCGAATCCGGGTGATATTTATGTGACTTAAGTCACCTGCGCATCTATGTTGAATACAAATAGGGCGTATGGGTATTACCTATATTCAGGCGGCGTTTTTTGACTTTTCTTTTGCGATACGCCGCGTTAGACGTGCCGAAATGGTCCGAAAACTTTACGACAATAGATAATTATTAACACTTATCACTCAACTTGAGCCAAAGCCGACTATGAAAAAACTTTTCGAAATTAAGTCATATTATAGGGATCTTCTAGGTTCTAGAAGATTCAGGTTACCTACTAATAAAAATGTAAGCTGTCAATTACTTTTTTTCGGCATTTTATATTTTTTACTTAAGTAGCAGTTGCGTAGATTGAGTTATTAGTGTCAAATGATTTCAAACGGAAAGAAAAATCACTAAAAATCTCACGAATGCACAGAACATTGGAATGTACCTAGATAGGTAAATAAATATCGAAATTGGAAACGAAGATTTAATCTCAAACATGCTTTTGTAAATTAATGTCGCGCCACCCCGAAACAAAATGCCAGTAGCGGGTTCCAATATTCATTAATTTTAATTTTACGAAATTCTTAAAATAATGATTGGACGTTGAAATTTTTTCAACAGATGGGTGATTTTTCATTAAAATATTGATTG